GAATTTGTCAAATAAAACCGTTGCCCACTTTGATTGCACTGATATCTGTATTGTAAGCGAGAGACTTATCCCCACTGCTACCGTTGAAAAAAAGGGTAGGTTGGGGTGGTAATAGCTTAACGTAAAGTTTTAATCATGGTTCAACTTTATTCTAGTAGCTTTTATCAAGCCAAAGATAAATTTTATTCCAAACGGACGTTTCTTTTCAGTAAGGTTTATTGTCGAGCGGGAGAAGTCAAGAGATGACAATATTTCTATACTCAAGTCAACCCTTTGGGTTTGAACAAAAAAGGGGATAAGGGTAAATATTGACTAGACAACAACCCAACGACATAGAAAATCAAGACATTTAGAGTCAACATGTAGTCTTTTATAACAGAGAGATCCCTATACAGAATATCAAGCTCAAAACCGCTTCATGTATAAATAAAGTAATTTAATATTATCTATCGATAACGATATCCCAACAGGCAATGAAATGTTTTGTATGGTTGAAAAGTTTTACCATTTCATTTTCATACGACCGCAAAAAAATTTGCGGTCGTATATTGGTATGACGTTGGCGTCGTCGTCGTCGTCGTCGTCGTCGTCGTCGTCGTCCTCCGAAGACACATTGGTTTTCGCACAATAACTTTAGTTTAAGTGAATGGATCTCTATGAAATTTTACCATAAGGTTTTATACCACAAAAGGAAGGTTTGGATTGATTTTGGGGGTTATGGTACCAACAGTTAAGGAATTGGGGGCCAAAAATAAGCATTTTTGTAACTTCCAGACAATAACTTGTGTGTTAGTGTATGGATCTCTCTGACATTGTACCACAAGGTTCCACATCACAAAGGGAATGCTGGGATTGATTTTGGGGGTAATTGCCTCAAAAGTTTAGGAATTAGGGGCAAAAAAGGGGCAAAAAACAAGCATTTTTCTAGTTTCGTGACAATAACTTGTGTGTAAGTGTATGGATCTTTCTGAAATTGTACTACAAGGTTCCATATCACAAAGGGAAAGCTGGAATTGAGTTTTAGGGTAATTGCCCAAAACGTTTGGGAATAAGGGGCCAAAAAGGAGCTAAAAATAAGCATTTTTCTAGTTTCCAGACAATAACTTGTGTTCAAGTGTATGGATCTCTCTGAAATTGTACTGCAAGGTACCATACCACAAAGGAAAGCCTGGGATTGATTTTGGGGGTAATTGCCTCAAAATTTTAGGAATTAGGCGCCAAAAAGGGGCAAAAACAAGCATTTTTCTAGTTTCAGGACAATAACTTGTGTGTAAGTGTATAGATCTTTATGAAATTGTACTACAAGGTTCCATATCACAAAGGGAAAGCTGGGTTTGAGTTTGGGGGTAATTCCCCTAAACGTTTAGGAATTTGGGGCCGCTAAAGGCCAAAAAACAAGCACTTTTCTAGTTTCCAGACAACAACTTGTGTTCAAGTGTATGGATCTCTCTGAAATTGTACTGCAAGGTACCATAACACAAAGGGAATGCTGGGATTGAGTTAGGGGGTGATGAATCATAAGGAGGTTCAAAAAATTTGTGGGGGGGGTCCTTTTTTTTTTTCCTTTTTTTCCTTTTTTTTTCTTTAAAATTTTCCTTTTTAAGTTGGTTATTTCTGATTTATATATAAAATCAAATAATAATGATATGGTTTGAATAGGTAAATTTAAATTTTTTAAGTTTTTAGACCACATTCATTCTGTGTCAGAAACCTATGCTGTGTCAAATATTTAATCACAATCCAAATTCAGAGCTGTATCAAGCTTGAATGTTGTGTCCATACTTGCCCCAAATGTTCAGGGTTCGACCTCTGCGTCCAGCGGAGCATTTTATTTTATATCGATCAGTGGAAATCATAAAAGGTACATGTAATAAAAACTTTTTTTGTTTTTGCTCCTTAATGCCACTTGCTTAGCAGAGAAACCGCAAGTACAAATGTTGACGTCTTTGGTTTGACCCGGCCGGGGTTCGAACCAACGACCTCCCGCACTAGAAGCAAAAACACTATCACGAGAAATCCGAAGCGGTCAGAAGAATACAATATCATACCAAAAAGCTAAAGTGCAATAAACAACTGTAGGATATTAATTTTATCCCATAGAAGATAAATTCTCCTATAGGATAATAAAAATCCCATAGGATTTAAATATCCTGTAGGATATTACAAATATCCTATGGGATTATGACTTTATCCTATAGGATTTCTGAAAATCCTGTAGGAATCATATGGGAGAAAATAATATCCTACAGGATTTTGTCACTGTTTTCACTCCAGTTGCCGAACCAGCCAAGCCACACCAAAAAAAAAATTGTATTGTTTTACCTATCCCCAGAGGTACATTATTGCCAAATTTGATGATTCTACCGTTAAAAAAAGTGTGGTTCCAATTTGCACTCATGAGAAGTGCAAATTAATCCAAGAACATGTTTATGGGTTTATACGACTATGGTATGCGGTATGGGGTTTGCTCATTGTTGAATGCCGTACTATGACCTATAGTTTGTTAACTTCTACTTCATTTGGTCTCCGGTGTAGAGTTGTCTCATTAGCAATCATATCACATCTTCGAATTTTTATATGCCGGTAGTCTCCAAAGTATGTTGCTAGTGATGAATTTTTAATGACAGAAATAGCATCTCTTTCTCGATAAAGCATAAGCAACAGGAGAGGCTTCGCTCCATGGAACCTCCTACAAGGGCCCAAATCCCCTGGCCGAGGTTTAGGCGTACACTTAAAAATGGGCTATCTGCGCCACTGATATATATTAACATAAGAAAAAGAAAACAAAAGTAATGAAAATCAACATCTAATGAAGTTTTAACATTGGGTGACATATTGTTGAGCCTTCAAGAATTATTTTGTGAATCTCTTAGTTTTCAATATATAGTCTTGTACAATAAGAAAGTTGTTTTTATTGTCCATATCTGTAATGTTCGGATCACCATAAAGTAACGTATCTATGTTAAGTGTACCGACTAAATTAACAAAACTGTCTTAATCTTAATACACCTGGCCTGTCTAAGAATATCACATATATCTTTGTCTTCCTTAGCACTTGGTTTGTGATTAGTATACTATAACGTTTGTTATACTACACAGAAATCGTAATATTTTTAGAATTGTCCAAATATTATCTTCATTTGTGTGAATACACCAACAAAATGATAAATATATCGCCGCGAAATCGGCTTTAAAAGATAGAAAGCTAAAACAAAATTATCTGCAAAAAATAGTTTGGTTATAGAAAAGGGTAAAAAGAATCATTTAAAAGCCCTTTGACGTTGTCGCAGACATGGAAATGAATTCTGATATAAAGGGCGAAGGACTTTAATTTAGAATTGGATGCTTTTTTTAATAATGTTATTGGGGGTGTAAAAGCGTTGACCAAAACAAATTTTTGTATGAAGCGTTTCATATTAAAAATGCAATTCTTATAATTACATCTGTATAGCGTTGTTATCGTAATCGGATTGATATAAAAATAAGAAGTCAAGATGTGGTATGATTGCCAATGAGACAACACTTCACAAGAGACCAAAACAGAAATTAGGATGTTTTGATTTGTTATTTTTGTTTTGTTTGGCCATCCAGTCGTGGTAAGTGAGTGATTGGTTTGATACGATTACCAGCTATTCCGTGTGTTTTCATCTATGGCTGTTTGGGGATGTTGACTACCTGGTGTTGTAGTTTCAATCAGTTGTTGGTGTACCTCTTTTTCATTTTTTTCATTGTTATTGTTTTTTTTATAGTAAGAGGTTCCCAATATATGTGTGGTCACTTGAAACTACAGGAACTATAATGTAGTTTTATTTATCTTGGTTGCCAAAATTAGTACTTTGGATGAAAATCACCCTCTACTGGTCAATAAGTGACATTTGTTGTTGAAATGCACATCTGGTGAAGTAGAATTTGGTACTGTTAATATTACTGTAACTGGTCCAAAAAAATAGTTACCCTTCCGGGGCACCTGAGATCACCCCTAGTTTTTGGTTGGGTTCCTGTTGCTCAGTCTTTGGTTTTCAATGTTGTGTTTTGTGTACTATTGTTTGTCTGTTGGACTTTTTCTTTTCAAGCCAGGCGTCGTCAGTTTATTTTTGACTTATGAGTTTGAATGTCCCTTTGGTATCTTTCGCCTCTATTTTGCTTTATAAATGAATAATGATACAAACTATAAATATTTTGTCATAATGCTATACAGTCAATGCAATGTTGTTCAACATAATTTACGAAATTTAATCGAGTAGAATAATTAATGAGGTGCGTACAATTTTCTACTAATTTTGTTTTTTCTCATGGAGCCATATGTAGTTTTTTTTGTCATGTAAATTTCTCACTTATTATGAGTAATAGGATAAATATATTTGTTATATTGGATCCTTGCAAGGTCTACATGTTCTTCAATTAAGGTTTACCTGACCTTGACCTCATTTCATCAATCAGTGATATAAGACACCATGTCCCCCTTTCACTATCCTATGTCCATGTTGAGTAAACCATGATTTTGATGTCAAAATTTTAACTTGGCATGTAATTTTAAAAGTTCAAATTATACAGAGCATGTGTACTAAGTTTCAAGTTGATGTGCCCAAAACTTCATGGTTTAACCACCTTTACCTGATAATGCACTTATTTCCCACGATCACATTTCTATGTCCAGCAAACGTGTAATTGGGATCAAAACCCCTAAGATTAAAAGTTGATGTAACCACACCTTCATGGTAAAGTATTTAACCTAATAAGGGACTAACTAATGGATGGACAAACAGAGGGATGGATGCAGACAAAAAACATAATACCTCCAACCTCCTATTGTAGGTGGGCCATAAAAGTAGCATAACTACAACCAAGCAAATAAAGACCAAAACAACACAAGGCATATTATCATGGTCGACAATAATGCCAAGGAAAAATGTTTTTTCTATGATCAAGTAAATAACAATATAAACACCTTTATCCTTAAAGGAACTGCTCATAACTTGTAAAAATAACAACTCATAAAATAAGGTATGAAAAATTTTATGTAACAATTATGACATGAATGTATAAACAAATGGACATGATAAAAATATATCAAATATTTAAACAGTATAGAAACCAGACATGTCACACTCATTCTACTGAACTGTAAGTAAGAAACATGAACAGACACCTAAAATTCATGCAAAAGGTGATTCATGGGTTGAGACCCTACACATTTTTATTTTTGATATTTTGTACTGAATGCAAATTAATATTAAAATTACATTACCCATAATTTCTACTTTTACCCATGGTCATGGGAAATATAAACTATATAAAATGCACTATGAAAAGTCCGAAAGGAGAGATAACTAAAAAATCTACAGTAAATTACATTGTATATATCAAGTAAATTTTCTCTCATGATCAGACAGTAATAATTATTCATTTAATGATGTACTCCAACAAGTTAGTAAAATATCAAAATTAAAAATGTGTTCCCTTTTTAGTGTGAATCACATTTTTCATAAATTGCATGATTTAAACATGGCATGCTACTTAATATGTGACAGGTAGCTTTTAAAGTACATGTTTTTTTTTTTTTTTTCATAAAGTCAGATCTGAATTCAAAAGCCTTATCTAAGTATTTCAATCTTTAGAATCTAAGATTACACCTTTGTTTCTACTAGTTGTGAGACAGCAATACAATATAAAAAGTACAATTTTTGATAGTGGCTGCTTTTCTGCGTACTTTAAGTTACTGATGAAGCTAGAGGATCCAAGAAGACTGGACCCCTCACCATGACTACTATGGTTAAAAAGAAAATATAACAAAGTAACAAATGGCTTAAAGAGGGTCTCCCTTCATCAACCCTGTAAAGTTCAAAACTTTTTACCTCATATTTTCAGAGAAGATTTTTGAAAATGATCAATTCTTGATCAAAGATTGTTTCTCGTGGCCTTGTTTTTCATCCACTCAGAACCAAATGAGGATATTGTGTATAGGTCTTTCTATACATCATTCCCACCAATTAGCATAAAAGAAATAGATGAAAATGTGAAAAGTAAATGGACTGCAAAGACGCCAAGTAATGGCAGTAAGACTGATGCCAAGGGATGGCAATAACTCACACCAAGGCCAGGTGAGCTAAAAGGTTTTCTATAAAGTGTTGTCAAAAAGCTTTCCTTAGTGTTGACTTTAAAAGGGAACATACAGTAGACAAGATTTTTACAACAGAGACATAGCAGTACACAACAATTGAAGGGAATATTCCAAAAGACACATCACTTTAACAGTTGAAAGAAAAGAGAACCCTGCTGACATTGTGATGTAAATGTTACTATAGTGATTTAATGTGTTACAAAATGATTCTTACATTCTTTTATAATTCATACTGACGTCGGAACAATTACTCATATCCCTTATCACACATTCTTTCAATCTGATGAAACACAACTAACATTCAAATGAATGGTTTAATTATATATTGTCTTTCCCGGCAATTTAATTTTATCTTTTACTTTCAATACAAACATTACAAATCCTTATACACCTGTCTATATCAATTGTATTCATTTGCACCCAAGAAACAAATAGTTACGTAAGTCTTATCAAAGCATTTTTACCTGCTGGTTACAAAACAAAATTGTAACATACAATCTCTTTTAATCTCATAAAATTCAAATGTACTCTTTATGTGAGAAAAAAATACGAGGGGTGTTTGAATTAAAATGTTCCTATAAAATGTTACAGCAACTGTTTTACAGGAAATAAACAGTAAAGAAAAATGTTATCACAATTGAGGCTATATTTATTTAAAATAAAGCCTAGATTATCTGCAAGACATTTCAAATAAAGTAACATGGCTAAAAGCAGCATTAATTTTCATAACCAATCTAACTGCCGAATTTTAGGCTTTATGAGAGTTTCCATATCAATTGGAAAGAAACAGGTCTATCTTAAAATTCAGCTGTACTCAGATAATAACAATATCTGAAATCTTTTATTTTCTAACCACTAATAGATGTACAAGGCTAAATATATATATATGCCCTTGCCATTTATATCCAGTAAAAAACAAATAGAAAAATTGTGGGACTTTGGTGGAATAATAAAATCCTGTCTTGGATGCTGTAAAGCAGTTTAATTTACATTTTTGTTTAAATTTTGTGATTTCTTTCACAAGGTTATATTTTTGCATTCTTCTTATCGTGATTCTAATATTCCTTAGAGATCAAATTTACGGGACGGGAAATTTTCACGTTTTAATTTGAAATGCAAAATATGCAAAAATAAACTCCCCAAAAAAAATTTCTCACTGTCAGTAATCATATATAGCAGTGCCAGATCCACGCCATTGTTTCTTGAAGCTCTGTTAAAAGTTCTTAGTCATTCATCTATGGTATTGTACTTATTATCATATATAATGTTGCTTCTTTGTTTACATGGCTCCATCCTTATACTCAAGTTGAAAATACATATAACTAAATGACAGCAAAAACAGACTTTCTATGCTGCAATGTTTAAAAAGTTTCTTCACATTTTGTTTGCACCACTTAACAAAAACAACAAAATAAGACAGATTCTAGACATCTTTTTAAGAAATTTCTCTTAATGTTCGTAAATCTGCAGAACTAATATGATTTTAAAGTATCCTCTGTAGTAAAATTCATAATTAAACAGACAAAGTTTTGACATTTTGTTCAGTCACTGTCGTCATCTACTGGTAAAGCCTTCTTTCTTTTCTTCGGTTTTGGTTTTATTTCTTCCTCCTGCAAAAAAATTACAAAAATCAATTACTCTTCCTTGTGGGCACAATCAGATAACTGTAAATATATAAACAAACTTTTTACAAGAAAATTGCAATTGAACTTAAACTAACTCACATGCAACATAGGATTTGAATATGGTTGATGGAATCTACAATATATAGTGTTGCTAATTAATATTTACTTCTATCATTTTGTAACATTTTTTTTTTATGCAAGCAACTTCTCCTTTCAACTAAAATATACCCAGCTAAAAGAGATTTGGTAATGATGTGAATACTTACAGAACTACTCTCAGTCTCACTACCACTGCTTTCCTGGACTTTCTTGGACTTTGACCTTGGCGGTCGAATGTCTAGTCCCATAGCTGCACTAGCACTAGCTGCCTTTCTAACAGGAAGACCCCTGAGCACTCGCGTGCTCTTTATATCATCAATGTCTTCAGCTAAAGCCAGAAGATCACTAAATCTGTAATGTAACACATGCATTAATTTGTGAATGCAACAAGATGCATACTCTTCACTGCTTTAGGTTTAGATCTTTTTTTATAAACTATTTTATGTTTAATAATGAAAATACTAGGCACATATCTATCATAAAATATTCCCTCCTTCATGGAATTAAATATCTTTAGAAAATTATATAAATGTAAGAAACATATTTGAATAAGAAAAGAAGGAATATGGGTTGGATTTACAAAATACAATCTCAGAAAACGCTAGAAAAAAACTGATGTATCATAGGAACAGTGATTGTATTGCTGTTCCTTATCTAAACTGTTACTACAAGGTCCTAAATGGTGACATAAAGATATTTAACATCATAGGAAGTCATCCCCTAGTGTTCATTTGAGGGGTACTCTTATATGTTTATCTATCATTAACTGTTATATATCTCAAGAGCCTGTGTCGCTCACCTGTATTTACTGATGCTTTGGAAATCATGTAAAATAAGGTTAAAATCATAATTAATAGTATGAGTTATTAGATATTATAATGATATCTAAGATAATAACAAAAAACCCAAAATTTTTGTAAAATTACTAACTCAGGGGCAGCAACCCAACAACGGGTTGTCGGATTCGTCTGAAAATTTCAGGGCAGATAAATCTAAATCTGATGAACATTTTTGCCACCTGTCAGATTTGCTCTAAATGCTTTAGTTTCAGAGATATAAACCAAAAACTGCATTTTACCCCTATGTTCTATTTTTAACCAAGTCGGCCATGATGGTTGGAAGGCGGGGTCATCAGACAAATTTTTAAAACTAGATACCCTAATAATGATTATGGCCAAGTATGGTTAAATTTGTCTCAGTAGTTTCAGAGAAGAAGATTATTGTAAAAGATTACAAAAATTTACAAAAAATTGTTAAAAATTGACTATTAAGGGCAATAACTCCTAAAGGGGTAGACTGACAATTTTGGTCATGACAACTTATTTGTAGATCTTACTTTGCTGAACATTATTGCTGTTTACAGTTCATCTCTATCTATAATAATATTCAAGATAATAACCAATAAAATGCTCCGCAGGGCGCAGCTTGATACGACCGCAGAGGTCGAACCCTGAACAGTTGGGGCAAGTATGGACACAACATTCAAGCCTGATACAGCTTTGCATTTGGATTGTGATTAAATATTTGACACAGCATAGGTTTCTGACACAGAATGAATGTGGTCTAAGAACTTAAAAATATTAAATTGGACATTCACCTATTATGGTCCAATATCCAAAATCTAAATACATGGTTGTCAATGAACCCACAGAATTCAATTTTTGATGAAATCAAACAAAGTTTAATTTTGGACCCTTTTGACCTCAATGTGGACAAAGTTGATAACGGGGCCCAAAAATCAAAAATCTAAATACATGGTTAGATTCAGTATATCAAAGAACCCCTATATATTCAATTTTTGTTGAAATCAAACAAAGTTTAATTTTGGACCCCAACTTGGACCAACTTGAAAACTGGGCCCATAATCAAAAATCTAAATACATGTTTAGATTCGGCATATCAAAGAACCCTAAGAATTCAATTTTTGTTAAAATCAAACTAAGTTTAATTTTGGACCCTTTGGACCTTAATGTAGACCAATTTGAAAACGGAACCAAAAATTAAGAATCTAAATACACGGTTAGATTCAGCATATCAAAGAACCCCAATACTTCAATTTTTGATGAAATCAAACAAAGTTTAATTTTGGACCCTTTGGACCTCAATGTTGACCAATTTAAAAACAGGGCCCAAAAATATTAAAACTAAATACACGGTTAGATTCAGCATATTAAAGAACCCCAAGAACTCAAGAATAAAACCCCATTGAAATTGGTCAAGAAATAAGCAATTTATACGAAGTATCTTCTTTTGCACAATACTGTGCAATTAAATATTTCTTGCTATTGCGCAATACTGTACAATTGACAATTTCTTGCTATTGCGCAATATTGTGCTATTGGATATTTCTTGCTATTGCGCAATACTGTGCATATGAAGATTTCTTGCTATTGCGCAATACTGTGCAATTGAAGATTTCTTGCTATTGTGCAATACTGTGCAATTGAAAATTTCTTGCTATTGCACAATACTTATTATATAATAATTTACACATCCTGTTTGGTGTGTATCTCCTACCATATCATTATTATTTGCTTTTAAATATAAATCAGAAATAACCAACTTAAAATGGAAAATTTTAAAAGAAAAAAAAAAAGGAAAAAAAGAAAAATCCCCCCCCAAATTTTTTGAACCCCCTTATGATTCATCACCCCTAAACTCAATCCCAGCCTTCCCTTTGTGGTATGGTACCTTGCAGTACAATTTCAGAGAGATCCATACACTTGAACACAAGTTATTGTCTGGAAACTAGAAAAATGTGTTTTTTGGCCCCTTTTTTGGCCCCCAATTCCTAAACGTTTCGGCAATTACCCCCAAACTCAATTCCAGCTTTCCCTTTGTGATATGGAACCTTGTAGTACAATTTCAGAAAGATCCATACACTTACACACAAGTTATTGTCATGAAACTAGAAAAATGCTTGTTTTTTGCCCCTTTTTTGGCCCCTAATTCCTAAAATTTTGAGGCAATTACCCCCAAAATCAATCCCAGCATTCCTTTTGAGATATGGAACCTTGTGGTACAATGTCAGAGATATCCATACACTAACACACAAGTTATGTCTGGAAGTTACAAAAATGCTTATTTTTGGCCCCTTTTTGGCCCCTAATTCCTTTACTGTTGGTACCATAACCCCCCAAAATCAATCCCAACCTTCCTTTTGTGGTATTGAACCTTGTGGTAAAATTTCATAGAGATCCATTCACTTAAACTAAAGTTAGAGTGCGAAAACCAATGTGTCTTCGGACGACAACAACGACGACGACGCCAACGTCATACCAATATACGACCACAAAAATTTGTTTGCGGTCGTATAAAAACTGCAAAATTTCCTTAAAATTACCAATTCAGGGTCAGCAACCCAACAACAGGTTGTCAGATTTGTCTGAAAATTTCAGGGCAGATAGATCTTGACCTGATAATCAGTTTTACCCTCTGTCAGATTTACTCTAAATGCTTTGGTTTCAGAGATATAAGCCAAAATCTACATTTTACCCCTATGTTCTATTTTTAGCCATGGCGACCATATTGGTTGGTTGGCGGGGTCATCGGACACATTTTTTAAACTAGATACCCTAATGATGATTGTGGCAAAGTTTGGTTAAATTTGGCCCAGTGGTTTCAGAGGAGAAGATTTTTGTAAAAAGCTAACGACGACGGACGACGCCGACGGACGACGGACGCTCAGTGATGAGAAAAGCTCACTTGGCCCTTCAGGCCAGGTGAGCTAAAAAGTAATTGAGCAAAATCTAAATAAAACAAGGGGGGTGGGGGGTTGAAAGCACTAAAAGGTGTGTATAACTTACAGCTTAATCGTATGAGGAAAAGTAACAGTGTTTTATTGATCACAAGTGTGCTAGCAATACCGTAGATACTCGCCTAATAGTCGATCCTACTATAAGTCGGGGGCCCTTTTCAGCTCCAAATTCTAAGGATTTAGTCTAGACCCTCGTATAAGTCGGACAAAATTTGGGCATTTTTTTTTCAGCTGACAGTAACTGAACGCCGGTAAAACCAATGCAAATCCAGGAATAATACTCATTTCTGCATTAATGTTTGTTTGGTTTGAATTTAGTTGATGCTCATCATGATAATTTATATTGCTGTTAATAATAAAGATGTATTCATTTCTCTTGTTTTGTTCACTGTTCAAATGTTAGATTAGCCATGTGTTGTTTACGTAATGCATCAATGATTTTGTAGGGTATGACTAACAACCTATTGTTTGAGAAAAGCGAATATAAGCCAATATGAACCTGAAAAATTTAAAGTCAATCAACACTTGATGAAAATATTTTTCACAGCATACATAACTCGGTGTTAAATGAGCATGTACACTTCATAATTCTTATTATTTTGTGATGATTAAAGGATTAAAAAAATTAAGTGAAGCTAATCAATATATTAAAATAACTAACTCCAACTCATTAGTGTCATCTGTTTACCTATCACTGATAGTTTTCACACCTTTAGCAAATACAACTCTTTGTCTCTTAATTGGGGTTATCAATGGATTATATTGGCTTGTCAATCAATTTTGTAATTTTTGTTTACCTGAGACACTTTAATGAATAATATTTTGATTTTGGGAATGAATCTTAAAATTATTTTTTGATTATTATATGATTTATAAGCATTGAATTGATATCATGATATCACAATAATGACACAATAACTCCGCTGAAAACATCCTTTCACATATTTGGTACATTGTTATCTCCTTTTCATTTTTGGTTCTTGGCTCTTCTTTTGGGTTTATAGGAAAACCATGTGACCATGAAAATCAATACACAAACCGGAAACAGTAGAATTTCAACACGAATTTGCAGAAAATGTTTACCAAAGAACAAATAAAACACAAAGACAGTATTGTAGTCATTTATTTTCAACAAAAACTTTTTATTTATTGATTTATGTAGGTTTGGCAATCAAAAACGTAGTTTTGACCAGGAAATTCACTCCTGACCACTTTTCTCAAGCTTGGATTTTTCCTCTGGTCGCTAGATCTCGTCTATTAGTCGGTCCCCCTCTCTGGATTATGAATTTTACTCCCAATTTTCCGACTAATAAGCGAGTAGGAACGGTAATTATGCACACTTTTTAGAATTTCGCAAATGTTTTCATTTTTGTACCTTTTTGCATGGACTGGCTCATATGTCTTTGAAAGAACATTCTCATTATGTAACTTATCAATTGCAATATTTTAATTTAGATATATACTAAATACTTACTTAGTTTTAAGAGATTCACTTGCTGTTTGCTGTACCTGTTGTAATGCATGCTGTATATTTTCATTGTTTAAAACTAAAATGAAGAAATATATTTAAAAATATTTGATAGCCCCAAAAAAAAACTCAAATTAAGTATGGTATGTATTTCAATCATACATTTTAAAGTATCTGTCCATTCAAAAAATTAAGCAGAAAAAAATTATTCAGCAAAGGGGTAGCATGATAATAGACATTATTCATATATATATCAATTATTTCAAATTATCATGATTTTAATCATAAATGAAGAAGACGAAATAGTCTGGTCCTGTAGGCTTGAGAGAGCTTACAATGCAATGTTCCATATAATTTATATTCCCAAGAGACAATACTCCTTTGAAAATAAGTGTTTGGCACTGATCTTCAAACTTTGTAAGACATTGCTGATATAAATCTTTAATATAAATTTCACAAACATCTGGCAAGAATTGTACATGTGAGAGCACTTACTCGACATGATTGACAGGAGTCAAGGTTTTTCTATGTTACCCACTCTGCCTTGTATGTAGACAAAAACAGAAGCAAAATAAGAATTAACAAACATGGGTAACAATGAATGCCAGTGTTATCATACAATGAAGCCATACAATATTATACAGCAACACTATAGTTTTATACTCACATGATATATTTTTACAGACTTGTCGAACATGATCTAGGTGTAAAAGAATCTGTTCTATGCTAGGACTGTCTTTCTTAGAAGATGACCCTGACCTAAAACATGGAATAAATTCTTATATTAAAAAATATAGATTACTTCCTCCTTTTTCTGCTGCTTAAACAAAAACTTAAATACTAGGCAAATTTGAAATGTTCAAATTCAAAATGTGTTAAATTATCAATGAAAGCAGCCAGCAGTTTGAGCCATATGGTCAGCCAATGTCTCCCTTTCCAAAGCATCCATCAAAATACTGTTAATTTGTTGCTCCATATTATTGCAATTATTGAAAAAAAAGACTTAATTATTGTGATATCAGACATTGTTGCATGCAAATAAAGCTTTCAAAATTGAAAGTGTGAGTATATATTCTTGCAAAACTATTCCCCTTGCAATTTTTACAATAATTAAAAAATTTCAAAATTTCTGAATATACAGTATCTATCTTACTTCATGTTTTATCTCACATTGGTAAATATCTAAAAAAGGAAAATAGGAAAAAAGTTGTTTTTCTTTTCATATGGTAATTGACATGCTTACAATGACTATAAAATAGAAAAGGACTCTAACATACATACCTTTGTCTTTTCTTTGGAGTACCATTAAACTTTGACACTTGTTGATTGATATGCTCTGCTAATTTATCTTCAAATTCCTGAGCCCAGTATTTCAAAATTGATACAACAAAATAGTCTGTTTTTTTACAGTCTCTACACATAATTATTCTTAACAGATCTGGTGAGGGACTGAAAAATAAATCATTTATCAAGGTCTTTATGATATGAATATGAAAATCTAAGTAATTTAGGTGTGTAAGATTATATAGTAAATGGATATGAACTGGTGTGTGCTGTATCAAGAATTTGTGTGATTAGCACCTGAAATTTCCAAAATATAAAAAAAAACAAAGACGACAACAACCCGACAACAGTTTAGACTAATATTTTGTAAAAATCATCTTCCTGTGCATATTTTTTGGGTCCTCAATGCTCCAACTTTGTACTTGTTTGGCTTAATAACTATTTTGATCTGAGCGTCACTGATGAGTCTTATGTAGACGAAACGCGCGTCTGGCGTATTAAATTATAATCCTGGTACCTTTGATAACTATTTACTGATTATACATAAATATTGTCGTGGTGCTGATCATGAAATGCTGCAAAATCTGGTATTATTATGTTTTCTGTCGATTTTCATAATTCTGCACAAAAAACTAACAAAAAAGTATCAATTTGTCTTTATATAATACAATATTGCAAATACATAAAAACAGTTAAATAATTATATCTTTAAAAAAAATAAGTTCTTTAAAAATTGTTTTATAGATCTATCAGTCGTTTGATATACTTACCATTCTTGTTTCAATAAGACCAGTATACTGGACAAAGCTTCTGCGTGTTCTAAAAAATAAAACAGGTTGTTCATTACATCAAGTTGGAACCACATTTTATGATTAGTCACTATTTTTTTAAGCCTTAAAAACAGTCAGTAAAAAATTGCTAAGATACATCTACACAAGGAGCAAACTTCAATCTCTCTCCTACAGAAAACACTAATTGTCAAATCGAGCCATCTGACGCTATAAGATTGTGGAATCTGAATAAGGTACATAAATCAAGTCTGTTAAAAAAAAAATTCACATTACACAATATTACTAAAATAGATAGGTCTTGTGTAGACTTATATTTTAGCCAAGGAAGGAACCTTCAAAATGGGGTTAACTCTTACAGAGTCCATTATATATTTTTACCAGAAGAACCATATAAGCTTGAACCAATTTTAAACAATGTCTGGCTTGCTGCAATATAGGATTTTTTTTTTAAAGTCTCAACCTCAGGTTAACTGGCTGATCAAATGAAATCTGTAAGGTTAATATGTTTACCTACGTGTAATAAATTTAACATGCATAATGCTTTCAACCAATCAGTTTTATTTTTATTCCTACATGAAGTGGGAATAGTGTAATGAGGTTATTTGCAAGCACAGGCAATACAAGAAGCAAACTATATTTTATGAAATTTTGTTTCCTATATATAATATTGTCTACACCATATGTGGATTTTATCATACAGAACTTACGTGTGAAATCTAGTTTTGGTAAAATGGGCATAACATGTTCCACCGGTATATTATGTGCAGATATTAACTGCCATAAGAAATACTGCTCTAAAGTTTCCCAATCTAAACTGGCATCTGAAATATTGTAAATTTGTTATTATTGTTTTTTAAATATTTTAAAATAAAACAAGTGCACAGAGTCCGAAATACCTGCATGTCAGCATGTTTGTCAGTATTCACTTTTTAAAAGTGGACTAACAGTATGCTACATTCTATATTCATTATCAAACTGACTGTGAGCACTAAAGGGTTAAGGTTGCATTCATTTTTCAGTAGGAAATTCGGAGTAACCGTGAATAAAACAACAATTCAACAACACCTAGGAACTAAGAAAACCATATGGAAGTAGATTGAAAAGTATATGCTATATCCTATATTAATATTCAATGTTCTTGTGAGCATTGAAGGGTAAATATTGTATTCATTCATTTTGCACAGTGGGAACTAACAATTAAACATTGCAGTGTATTAAGCTTTGGCAGGCAAAACTACAATTATGGACAAAGGAAGATAACTCAAATTTTGAATATTACATACATGTGATGGACTGGAGATTGGGAAATTTTGGTCAGGAGTTTAAACCTCAGATCAGGAGGTTTTTTATGGACATTAATTTTGTTGTAAATGTAACTCTCTTATGTAAAAATTGTCTTTTAAAGTGTTTTTTCTTCAATCTTGCAACTTAATGTAATATATCAATGTGTTTACAGTCTCCTTGTAATGATATCAGTCAAAAGAAATATTGAGAAGATTCTGTTTCTGGTTTTGTTTTAGATTGTTGATTGTTGACTGCTTGAAAATAAAGTACTATTATTTAACCTTTCCTTTGAGTACAAAGAGGAAATTAAAGCATAGTGTTTTATTCATCATGTTCATGCCTGAATCTTTTTTATTTCTATTCAATGGCATTGGCATAGATATATAAGAGAGAAATATGTTATACATTTACAACATGATAAATAGATGAAAAATAAGAAACAATAACAATAGTTGTGCATGGTTTTTAAGCATTAATAAAGTCATTTTGCTAGAAAACTTGAGACTGTCATTGTTTCAAACACTGTAAAATATATTAGCTAAAGCACTGCCTATAATACATTGACAAATAAAGCACTGGTCTTGTAAGAAGTACAAGCTGACATGGATGCTTTTGTTAATACACTTGACTCTTTACTAAAGTAATCCTGATCCTGGTAAAAGTTTGTGTAATTGTTAATCTTAACACTGAGGAGGCTGTGAATTGTCTATGAGTCAATGTTTTTCTGCTGTCAGTTTGGATCTTCCTGAGCATGCTGAAGGTCCTGTAATGTCCACATTGGAGTGTGAAATAGGGAGTATTTCTTTGTTGAGTTGAAAATTTATTAAATGTTTTTTTTGGCCTTAAAACCTCCTGTAGTTCCGATTGATGTTTTGACAACAACATTCCACTTTTTTATCAATCTTATATTAATTTTAATTCTCTCCGCGCCAGAAGTCGCATACGGTCTTTCTTTATCGATACCAGTATTTATCTTTGATCATCCTTGGCATGTGCCATAAACAGAAGTCATATTATTATCCTATCACCTGTTTATTGTTTAATCAAACTGTTATCACTTGTTAATTATCTGCAGGCCAGGTTAAAATCTACACATGTTGCGTAATCAGGTATTGTCAGTTACACTGGATACGTTCGATACACTCTGGTTTTACGTTCATAAAATTTTTTACATTCAGGATTTTTTTTCTTCAACAGGAGGATAGGAGGAGACCCCTGAAAACAGGATTATTGTACTCCCTTTGGGAGTTTCACATGTATGATATTACATCAACATTGACATCATTGATATCTTTTAGAACAAATACTAGATTGATGCACCATGCACAATTTATGTAATTTTTTGGACAAGTATAGTTATGCACATACACATCATTTTGTAACTTGAATATCTGAGTATATTTTTCATTGATAAATTTCTTGAAATGTTCATGGATAGGATGTATAGAATGTTGTTCTCAGTCCACTATGTATTTTTTTAATCTCAAAAGTAGTGATAAAGTCTGGAAAAATGGATAACTATCAAGCTAGCCACATAAAGTGTTGTCCAACCACCCCTCCCAAATACATTTTTTCCTGGAATAACCCTTATAAATGATACACTTTTCCATATTTATTACTTACTTAAGACAGACAGAAATGAATCTTTTCTGAACATGATTAGGTGGCCTTGCAGTATCTGACATATTAGCTCTTGGAGCTGAAAAAATATATACTTAAATCAAAAATATGTTGTACTTTCTAAAATATAAAAATTGAATAAAATAGTAATAAGAAAAACTAAGTAGTTAAATTTTTATCATAGTTTTTTTTATTACAATGCTTTACGTCTTACTTATCTGTGGTATAAGTAAAACTGTAAGCTCATTATCATACAATTTTTTTTTCTCCATTGCAATCATTGTTAGCCCTTAATGCATTAACTTCATATATCAAATATTAATTTTTTAGAAGGAAATAATAAAATACAATTTATTTTGGACCACACTGAAGAACATGAACATAATCCAATAAAATATTTGCCCTCTGTGTACTTTGGATCATCCCCCAAAAATTACTGAAGAAATAAAGTCTAAATATCTACATTGAAATTGCTGTTTTTTTAAATTTACAATATATCTGCAAATTCAGCTGTAAAGTATATTTTCGACAGAAACAACATAATGCTAGTTTATCAACAAATAATTACCTGTGCACCATCTATTGCTGACACAATCATGTGTAACAACTCTGAATTCCCAAGAGCTTGGCTCTGGAACTGTTTAAAAAACAATAAATCTTTAATGTTAATACTCAAAGAATTAAAATCCTACATCAAATAAATATTTGCTTTTCAAATGTCAGAGGAAAAAAATGAGGATTGATATGTACTGTTTTTATTTTAATTTCAATATTTTAAGGTGGTGCTTAAATATGATGCAGAATACATATTCTCAAAAAAGTAACTGCATTATTTTGATTCATATTTTGACTTAATATAGAAACAAGGGAATAACTTTTGTATATACATGTATTTCTATGAAGAATCTTGCATGCATAACATTGGTGAGAAATTCAAAGAAAGAAAATCATTTTGGTGTGGCATGTCAATGTGGTTTACAGTCTTAACTTTTTCAAACCATAAATATATCATGTTTACTACCTTTAATTACTTGAAAACCTTAATTTTTTTAATAATGCAACTTACATTATTATAAGTATCTGGCATCAAAAAGGTAAACAATCTAACATCATCTTCTTGACATAACTGTAAAATAAAATTGTATAAAAAAAAAAACAATCATGCCATGCATATAAAATCATCAGATATCATATGTAAATATTTGTGCTCTCTCAAGCATGCGAGGACTTGGGTCCAATCCTAAAACAGGTTAAAAGAAAGACGTAAAGATAATATTAGTTGCTTCATCAAACATATACAGAAAGACAACTTCCTCCTGAGCTAGCACAGTAAAAATTTAACTGAAGAACCTTGTGCAAAGAAGAGAATATTTATACATTAACATTTTATTGTCCTGTCAGAATGTGAATTAAATATTTGACAATCAATCATTCAAACATGTGGCAATCATGCATTTTTAAATCTGACAGTAGCATACAACTCTCAAGTCACTTTATTGTTTTAAGAACCATTACATATTTTGTGATCATTTGAAATGTCTTCACTAAACGTCTAAATTCATTTTTATGTCTAAGTGTGACATTTATATACCCCACCATCAATAGTAGGGGGCATTATATCATCTTCGCATTTGTTCGTTCATCCGTCCATATGCCTGTCCCATATCAGGTTAAAGTTTTTGTTTAAGATAGTTAACCATGAAGTTGTGATCACATCAACATAAAACTTAGAACACATGTTCATTATGACGTGAACTTTTTATAAAATTATATGCCAAATTAGTTTTTACCCTCTATTTCATGGTTCAGACGAGAAAATGTGATAGTGAAAGCAGGGTATGGTGACCTATGGACACATAATCTTGTTCTTTCTTAAACAAATAAGCCTGGGAAAACATGGTTTATATATATACGTTCAAATTGGGCTTTGAACTAGTTTTTGTAACTGAGTATTCTAAGGTACTTTGTGTCTTTGGTGTTTTTGTTATTTGTGTTTGTGTCTAGTACCATTCTAATGAGTAACATTAATGTACAACCCTTCCATATTCTTAATTTGCCTGTCAAAAGCCAGGAACATGTAATCCAGTGGTTGTGATTGGTTGGTGTCTACCATATTTTTTTTTTTTTGTTGTATAAATCATGCTTTTATTTTTCTCAATTGAATTGTTTCACATTTTGTCTTACTGTGGCTTTATATAGCTTACTATATGTTTTTGGTTTTGCTCATTGTTGAAGAATGTACAGAGACCTATTATTGCTTAAATCTGCCTCATTTGGACTCTGTTAAGGAAATGGTTGTCTTCTGGCAATCATATCACATCTCCTTATACCATTTACATCCTATTCAACCAATTTTTACAATTTCCAGTGCCAAATATACAAACAAACTGAAATTTGTTAAACTAAAAGTAATACAGAATGCTGTATATGTAAATTGCATAAGAATTAGGTAAACAATGCTTTTTTTTTTTACTTTACATTAAATACAAGCAAAATATTTACCTTGAGATCAGACATCAAACAAGATTCTAAATCTTTGTTATCCATACTTTTACAGAAATCTTTATACGTCAACATTTTTTCATCATTTGCCTTGCTGAAATCAACAAATTTTAATGAACATCAAAAACCAATAATTCAAGTAAACATAGAACTCTTATTTACAGATATGTTGAGATTTTTAAGCTCCTATCATTGATCAAGTGTATGTTTTTTGGAATGGAAAAGCCAGCATCAGAAAACGTTTTAAAAACAAATATTCCAGTAACTGATATTCAGTACTGAGGTACCAGATACTTATATACTAAGATGCATGGATGCCAATAAAACTGGACATTGGATGTCCATGATTTTTCATAAATAGCTATTTGAAATGGACCTATTAAGAAAATTTAACATTAGGTATTGACCATAATAAAAATGCTTGAAAGTCAAAATTTGCATTATACATACCACTTTCTTCATAGGCAAAATAAAAATAATAACATTTTCAGGCCAGTAATCCTCAAGTCTAAATTCAACATTTTAATAAAAATATTCATAAATAGTCTTTTATTCCTCTATCAACTTGCTTCTTAAATAATGACATAAGTTCTGCATCATGATTATGTCAAATGTAATTTAGACAGATAAAATATGTAATATGTACATGATGTAGAGAATCTGATTTTTATTTTAGTTTTGAGTATGAAAACTTTTAGATTAAATACTTCTTTAATCACATGCACATGCATTTCTTCAAGAATCAATTAATCAATCACACTTACCCAACCTTAAGAAAATACAACATATGGTATCCAATACGAGGTTGTTTTGCATACATCTCTGTTAACAGCTGTAATATAGGCTGTCGATTTGGGTCTTCTTCTGCCATAGAGGCTAAGAATCTGTAACATGTAAAGTATAATTTTCACATGTTTTGGTTAAATTTCTGACAATGTACACAAATACAGAATAGAATTTATTGGTAATTGTAAAAACAGTAGATTTTATACATTTCATGTATGTGAACCTCAATATATGCTGTATACAAAATGGATAGATGGATGGCTGTTAAACATCCAGTGGAAAATTAAATGCATATTCAGGACAAAAACATGATAATAAGATATGAGTATAAAACCTGCTTTGTACTAAACCGTCATGCTGAGCCGGATTTTTAATGTGCAAGTTTACAAGGTATTTTTCTGCAAGAAGACATGTCACCTTACCCGGAAACATTATTCCGACTCTAAGCCAACCAGTCTTTGTTCTTACTCTTAAATGCTGCCTTCTTAGGGGAGAAGCAGTAAATACCATTTTTTTAAGTCTTTAGTTTGACCCAGCCTGAGTTTGAACCCACAACCTCCTGCACTGGAGGCGAAAACACTGCCACAAGACCACTGAAGCGGTATTATTCAATATGGAGAACATCTTTAAATCATACCCTGTTTTTTCCTATGTCAATTTTCAATTTATACCCAAATGTACATTAAGATTTTCATATTGAGTTGTAATGGTTAGTAGTAAAATTTCCATACAGCCAGAATGTGCAATGTGTTTAATATAAAGTTTGAAACAAAGTAATATTGAAGTACTGTTAAATAACTTATTTTCACAAACAATTTTATTCTACATTTACTTTCGAAAGTAGTCATATACAATGAATATATCAAACAACAATAATGTTAGAAAATTTCAAACAAAATTATTTGGAAAAATGGCTAGAAAGGGCTAAACTAGTAAAAAAAGTACCTGCAAAAATAAGTTGGTTTTCATTAATACTGAAAATAATGCTAAACTTACCTAAAAATTACAAATAATGGGGATCCTATAGAATCTTCTATAGACCTATAAAGAAAAGAAAAAACTATTTATTTAGTAATATTACCATTCAACTATACACTAAAAGAAAAATAACAATACATGTAGAGCAGGGCTTCCAAAATTATTTTTAGCCAGCCGGACATTTTATATATTATCCCGATTTTAATCCCTTAAGACAAAATAAACAAAAGGCAGTTATGGTAATCAGTTGCCGAGTTGGCCATCCCAATGATTGACATTAAAAAAAACGATATTAAACTTTCTTTGATTCAAATTTGAAGTTCTGACGTAAACTGTTAAATTGGCAGTGCATCATTCGAAGTGTGCAACATCAGCGTACTTATATCTGCCTTAGACTCTTTATTTGTGCAAAATAACGTTGTCAAAAACTTTACTTTCATTTTTTGGTGTAATACCGGATGATATCTTGACAATGGTAAAACATGGACCAGAGACGGATACGTAAATTCCGTATACGTATGCAAAGTATGAAATCTTTCTATGTTATTTCTTCAAGAATATATTCGAAATAAACGTGAGATAAAGGTATCAATGACAATTTAAGCATTTTTTGAAGAAATTAGGATGCATAATTAAATGTCACACCTGCGCACATGTGTACTAGTTCAAACAGAGACATGTCTCTGGTTCAAACAACGTGGTTATGACGATTTTTCATTTTCACCTTTTTAATTATTTCTGATGTAAATCTTTTTGACTAAATTAATTAGATGCAAACCGCTGAAATGTAAGAAAATAACTTTTGAATAGACCGATCAATGTCCGGTTCAAAATAGTTTACCTGTCACCTGAACAGGTAAATTTCAGCTGTTCATCAACTAATTAGCCTTGATTAAAATGAGAAGGTATTAAAGTAGGGGTTGTTTTGATAGTACTTAATGATCATGTCACTTTTATGACCGTAAATGTGTGGCTGTTAAAGGCGGAATGTTGGGTCAAAAAGATCGTGAATTATGTTAAAATGACCGTCTCTTAAGAAAGCCTTGAAAACTAAAAAGTAGATGACCGTTTCATGCTTTTCCCAGCCGGACTTTTACCGGACATTATACAAATGTCCGGCATATATGACCGTTTTGGAAGCCTTGATGTAGAGTCACATTACCATTCAAATCTCAATAAACAAAAATACTTCAGACAAACTAAAACCTTTATTAGAAATCTAATCATCTTTTTCAATAACTGCATACATGAGCCGATATTGCTAATTTTAATAGAGGAGTAATATTCAATATTATTTCAATAAATGAAAAATGAAGTTAATGTCAGTGTAACACAAGACAATACACATCTTAAGGTCTTCAATGACAACAGATGACAAGCCCCAACATTATAGGACAGGCTTTAACTATAAATATATGTACTTTGTTCTTGAAATGAAAAGAAATGTAAGTTATTTCTACACTGTTACAGTATTACATACTCATCATCAAGCTCCATAGGAAATAAATTACTACTAAAATGGTTGACTAATATCTGACATAAACAGTGTGACAGTGAGTAAGCCATCTCATCAAACTCTTCCTGTAATTAGAAAAAAACTTGTTTTTAAAACTGCTTTCAATATCAATCAATGTTTTAAAGATACAAAAAAATAGCGGTTTTTATCTTTACCAGCTATGTTTACAATTTGAAGTTAGTTTTAGTGTTTTCATTTTCATTCTCATCTATAACAATACAAAAGTAATAATAAAAAAATTCAAAGAAAAGGGCTTATTTGAAGCTGATCCTGGCATTGAAATACGCTACACTATTTCATTGTTAAAGATGAAATTTATTATTCAGGTGTCTGTGTTTGGTTTCATTTTCTTGTTGTATGGTAATGACCAGATGACTAAGTTATCTTCAATAATATTATCACTATGTTAATTTAAAACCCCTTTTCTTAGAGAAGTACTCTTCTAAAAATACATAATTAAACTATTTGATTTATCTCTATCATCTTATGAGTACAATATAAAACATCCAAACTGGATGCTTACATAAAATTGATTGACTTATTAGAAAGGGGTTGCAATATACATTGCTGATTCGTTTACTGCAACATTTTTAAAAACAGCTTATATCATAAATGAACATGTAACTCCGAGCAGTGTTTTTCACATTTCGTGGTTTGAACGCTTCAGTGATTTATAAACATACACTTCACTTTTTTTCCAACGCATATAGAAATACATTCCTTCCTCAAAAAGAAAACATCTTTACCGGACAGATGCACTTATACTTAGAAATATTCATGTAGCTCTAAATCTTTTTTCTAGGGAATTGTTAAATCTGAACATCTTAAATACATTATGTTATTACTATAAACAGCAACAGACAAGATAAATGTGTTGGTATTCTAGTAAAATAATGGTATTCTATTCTGAAACTATTAATAACTAGAAACTTACATCTTTAACAACCATTTGCATCAACCTGTCCATGCTCTCACACTGTATTTCTTGATCTCTGAAAAATAAACAATTTGTACTAGTGTCTCATCTATGTTTACTCAAATTTGGTGATAGAAAAGTTTCTATTAAATTTAAATTCCAGCAAGTATGATTAAATGTTCTTAGGAAGAGATTAACCATTTCATACATGTATATTACTGTATAGCGAGTTATTTTGGCGGGGTGTTTATTTTCGCTTATTTTGGATGATAAACAAAAATCACGAAAATAAATTCCGCGAAAATTTATGCATACTTTTGGTAGTTTCGAAGTTAACATGGTAAAAGGATTTTGTAAACGATCTATTTTTTCCTGTCGGCAGGTCAATAAAGGTATATGTTAGTTTTAACAAGATAAATGCCAAAGGGCATTGTACATAAATGTATTTTATAAAATGACTGGCAGGTGTGTATACCCTTATTAATAAGTGTCAATTAGAATAAGAGTGTAAGGTACTCTTATCAGGTAATTGCCCTTATTAATTAGTGTCAAACTATATAAGAGTTGTAAACACTCATGATAATTTTGTTACCTAATTAGTAAGTACATCAAAGGTCCGGTCAAATTTGTAACTAATCAATCGTAAAATTTACAAGACGTTTGAATACCTGTAACAAATATCTAAGTTAGCGGTATTCTAATTATTAACTGTATCAGAATCTAATCAATAAATGAGAGGTCATTCCAGTAAACAATAAAATGCTCTGCTGGGCGCAGCTTGATACGACTGCAGAGGTCGAACCCTGAACAGTTGGGGAAAGTATGGACACAACATTCAAGCTTGATACAGCACTGAATTTGGATTATAATTTAATATTTGACACAGCATATTTTTCTGACACAGAATGAATGTGGTCCAAGAACTTAAAAAATTTTAATTTACCTATCCAAACTATATCATTATTATTTGCTTTTATATATAAATCAGAAATAACCAATTTAAAATGGAAAATTTTAAAGAAAAAAAAGGAAAAAAAAAATCCCCCCTCCCAAATTTTTTGAACCCCCTTATGATTCATCACCCCAAACTCAATCCCAGCCTTCTCTTTGTGGTATGGTACCTTGCAGTACAATTTCAGAGAGATCCATACACTTGAACACAAGTTATTGTTTGGAAACTAGAAAAATGCTGTTTTTTTGGCCCCTTTTTGGGCCCAAATTCCTAAAAATTTGTGGCAATTACCCCCAAAATCAATCCCAGCCTTCCCTTTGTGGTATGGTACCTTGCAGTACAATTTCAGAGAGATCCATACACTTGAACACAAGTTATTGTCTGGAAACTAGAAAAATGCTTGTTTTTTTTCCCCTTTTTGGCCCCTAATTCCTAAAATTTTGAGGCAATTACCCCAAAAATCAATCCCAGCCTTCCCTTTGTGGTATGGTACCTTGCAGTACAATTTCAGAGAGATCCATACACTTGAACACAAGTTATTGTCTGGAAACTAGAAAAATGCTTGTTTTTTTTCCCTTTTTGGCCCCTAATTCCTAAAATTTTGAGGCAATTACCCCCAAGATCAATCGTAGCCTTCCCTTTGTGGTATGGTACCTTACAGTACAATTTCAGAGAGATCCATACACTTGAACACAAGTTATTGTCCTGAAACTAGAAAAATGCTTGTTTTTTTACCCTTTTTTTGGCCCCTAATTCCTAAAATTTTGAGGCAATTACCCCCAAAATCAATCCCAGCCTTCCCTTTGTGGTATGGTACCTTGCAGTACAATTTCAGAGAGATCCATACACGTGAACACAAGTTATTGTCTGGAAACTAGAAAAATGCTTATTTTTGACCCCTTATTCCTAAACATTTTGGGCAATTACCCCCAAACTCAATTCCAGTTTTCCCTTTGTGATATGGAACCTTGTTGTACAATTTCATAAAGATCCATACACTTACACACAAGTTATTGTCATGAAACTAGAAAAATGCTTGTTTTTTTACCCTTTTTTTGCCCCTAATTCCTAAAATTTTGAGGCAATTACCCCCAAGATCAATCGTAGCCTTCCCTTTGTGGTATGGTACCTTACAGTACAATTTCAGAGAGATCCATACACTTGAACACAAGTTATTGTCCTGAAACTAGAAAAATGCTTGTTTTTTTACCCTTTTTTTGGCCCCTAATTCCTAAAATTTTGAGGCAATTACCCCCAAAATCAATCCCAGCCTTCCCTTTGTGGTATGGTACCTTGCAGTACAATTTCAGAGAGATCCATACACGTGAACACAAGTTATTGTCTGGAAACTAGAAAAATGCTTATTTTTGACCCCTTATTCCTAAACATTTTGGGCAATTACCCCCAAACTCAATTCCAGTTTTCCCTTTGTGATATGGAACCTTGTTGTACAATTTCATAAAGATCCATACACTTACACACAAGTTATTGTCATGAAACTAGAAAAATGCTTGTTTTTTTACCCTTTTTTTGCCCCTAATTCCTAAAATTTGGAGGCAATTACCCCCAAAATCAATCCCAGCATTCCCTTTGTGATATGGAACCTTGTGGTACAATGTTAGAGAGATCCATACACTAACACACAAGTTATGTCTGGAAGTTACAAAAATGCTTATTTTTGGCCCCTTTTTGGCCCCTAATTCCTTAACTGTTGGTACCATAACCCCCAAAATCAATCCCAACCTTCCTTTTGTGGTATTGAACCTTATGGTAAAATTTCATAGAGATCCATTCACTTAAACTAAAGTTAGAGTGTGAAAACTAATGTGTCTTCGGACGACGACGACGACGCCAGATGACGACGACGCCAACGTCATACCAATATACGAACGCAAAAATTTTTTGTGGTCGTATAAACATCACTTAAACATAACAATAGACACTTGTTTGTCAAGTTTTACAACTTTTTAACTGCAACAATTTCAGTATCCACCAAAATATTTAATTGGGATTTAAGAATCCACCAAAATAAAAACCGCCAAAATTTTTCGTATACTTTGTTGCCCCCAAATCGCGAAATTTTATACCTGCAAAAATAACCCGCTATACGGTATTAACTGTTTCACATTTACATGGAAAATAATCTACTCTTTCTTTCTAACTGTCAAATATGATTCCAAAATTCCTATCCATAAATAATATATCTTAACCTTAGATAGGTGGATACTATAGAGGGAAAGATGCATTTAAACTAAATGTTTTACAAATATTCCAACATTCCTATACAAAAACATGAATAAATCATTAAGCATTATGCAATATAGGCATATACTTTTTTTTTTATCATTACCTAAATTCTCTTCTCTAAATTGTACATATGACATCTGTACAGTTTAGGAAAATACAGTTTAATAACGTGTTTAGGGAGCTGGGAACTTGAGTAACCTACTTTTCATTCATCAATTGTTCAACATATTCCACCAATTCACCATTAAGTTGAGGTAGAAAGTTGTTAATGTCAACAGGTTGATATCTAGTATCCTGGATTGGCTGGAACTTTGTTTCTTCTTTTATTTTACCTACAAATAACAAATAGTATAACTTTTAATATTCTGCTTTCAATCACAAACAAATTCTTAGGAAACACAAAAAAAATATGATAAAGCAACATGAATTGCTGTTGGATTTTTGTATTACTGGGTTGCTGTCAGGATGAAGCATACCTATCATCTTTTATTTACGATTTAGGATTCAGTCTGTATTACTGGACATACCATCTTATTTTCACATAGTAAGGCTGACTACACATAATAAGATTATTTATTATAAGATGTTTACAATGTATATCTATTTTCCATCTCTTAATGCCAGGCCATGATTATAACAAAAATTAACTTCTAACTATCTACAGTATATCACAAATAATAAACACGGGAATAATCTTTCTTGGATTATTCTCTTCAACACTAAAGGCAGGTTTACATTATGTCTTTTATGTTCTCAGTATAAACTTACTATTTGTGAAAAGTATTGATTGTTTGAGAACATGATTATTTGGAATAGTTAAAATGACCAAAAAAAATAAGAAAAACTACTGTTATATGATTGTCTTCAATCACTGGAGGCCGATACATATGACAGATTGTTGTCAGTGTGGTTCTCAATGTAATCATGGTTTTCCTTACTATGAGATTGTTGATGGTTTAGATGTATGAGTTGGGCGTAAATAAACCTAATGGTATACCATCTTCTTCGTCACTAAAGGCAGCTCCATCTGACAGGTTGTTGTCTATATGATTATCTGTGTCCATGGGTTGGGGAATTAATAAGGGGAGGGAGAAAAGTAAGCTAAACAAATCTAATGGTATATCATCTTCTTCGTCACTAAAGGCAGCTCCATCTGACAGGTTGTTGTCTATATGATTATCTGTGTCCATGGGTTGGGAATTAATAAGGGGAGGGAGAAAAGTACGCTAAACAAACCTAATGGTATATCATCTTCTTTGTCACTAAAGGCAGCTCCATCTGACAGGTTGTTGTCTATATGATTATCTGTGTCCATGGGTTGGGGAATTAATAAGGGGAGGGAGAAAAGTAAGCTAAACAAACCTAATGGTATATCATCTTCTTCGTCACTAAAGGCAGCTCCATCTGACAGGTTGTTGTCTATATGATTATCTGTGTCCATGGGTTGGGGAATTAATAAGGGGAGGGAGAAAAGTAAGCTAAACAAACCTAATGGTATATCATCTTCTTCGTCACTAAAGGCAGCTCCATCTGACAGGTTGTTATCTATATGATTATCTGTGTCCATCATTGAGTCCAACATTGATGCCATAGAAACCATTGGCTCTTTGTTATTTGTAGGTTCATCTTTAGCTACTGCTAATACACATTAAATAAAAATCATCAAAATTAAATTTCAAACAATGTATTAAAATTAGTTTTTTCATAGTGGCATCTCCAGCAAGGTTGATCAAAGATAATTTTCTAATATAAAGATAATAGAAAGGATTCCATTTTTTTCCCTTGACGAAGCAATATATGGTGTTTGAAGAAGATTGTATTCAAGACAAGAACTCTAGATGACTTCATGCTTTAGTCTCAGAAGTCATATAGTAAATTGACCTTTGAAACACAACCTTAGAATTTAAAAGATTTCAATCTGGCTAAAGCTGTAGATTAAAAAATGAATACAAGACTTGGCTTAAATAGTGACAATAAAAGCATATAAACAGACTGACAGGCATATATGTTTATTATATACCTGTGCAACAATCTTGAGACATTTCAATTACAGAAAGTAGTCATCTACTATTTTTTTTTTGTATCCTTAATGCATTAGTTTCATTCTCCTCTCTAACAATGTACTTAATCAAGATGTGTAATATTGAAAGGGGCAACAATAACATACTACTCATTAGAAAAACAACTTTACCTTTATAAAAATAAGAAGATGTGGTATGATTGCCAATGAGACAACTCTCCACCAGAGACCAAAGGATAATAGAAGTTAACAACTTTATATCATTAATAACTTGAATATATTTTTAAAAATGTAGCTATTTGTTAAAATAGCTACTTTTTTTTTAAATGAACATATCTAGTTATATTAACTTTACATTAACAGATTATGTCATACCTTCTTGTGAACAGAATTCAGTAAAGTTTTCACGAATCAACATCCTCAAATCTCTGTCCAGCTTACTGTTTTCTAATAATGGTTCAAGAGCTCTGCGAAAAAAAAACTTAATCTCTATTTTTTTTTAAGCAAATGTTTACCATCAGATGTTATCACTGTATAGAATCACTACCAGATAAAGGTAACCCCGAAGGAGTGGAGAAAACAAATGTGAAATCAGGCAAGGTCAAATTCTTCTTATTTTCATTATATTCTATGTTTTGCTGACAAATAAAGTTTTGTGATACTGATTCCTAATAATGTAGCTACTATTTAGGGCCGATTATGATCTTTAATTTGCCTTCTCTCTCTTCAAACCTTCAGAATTGGATCGGGTGGTTTCTGATCAAAGAAGCATGTGACAAGTTCAAACTTGTTAAAACACATTTATCCTTCAACTATTCATTTGACATTGTTGTAGAATAAAGTTATATCATATTTAAGCTTGAATTTCGAAAATTACTGTTGTTTTCACAGAGAAATTCATGTCAACAAAGCGGCAAATAGTTGTTTACTGTACGGAGAATAGAATAAATAATTTTTGCTATCATTGTTTCTTTGCCTCTGGGGTATCTATATCCAGTATTGATGCTTCACAGTGGTTACACACAAGAAATAAATAAATGAGGAATGTGTCCATGGGACACTGTCCATGGGACACAGATGATGCCCCCGCTTGCATATAACGTTAAAAAGGGACATAACCCAAGAACAGTAAAAATGACGCAACCAAAATTAGAACTTGATCTGTGGTTATTAGCATTGTGCATAAGTTTCATAACATTTGGTTAAGGCAAACTAAAGAGAACAGAAACAGAAACGATTTTTCCATTTGTGAAGGGGCATAACTCTAGAACGGTAAAAGTGACGCCACCAAAGTTAGAACTTGATCTGTGTTTTGTGGTAATAAGCATTGTGTATAAGTTTCATAACATTTGATTGAGGCAAACTAAAGTTAGAGAACGGAAATGAAAAATTCAGCAATTTTTCCATTTGTAAAGGGGCATAACTCTAGAATGGTAAAAGTGACGCCACTAAAAATCAAACTTGATCTGTGTTTTGCGGTAATATGCATTGTATATAAGTTTCATAGCATTTGGTTGAGCGACATAAAGTTAGAGAACGGAAACCAATTTTGGGACGTACAGATGTACAAGGATAAACCTTAATGCCCCCTCCACCACGGCGGGGGAATAAAAATCATACACAAATCTGTAAAGAATTATTTTCATTTTCATTTTTCATATCAGTTGATAATAAATGGAAAATGCTTTAATGTAAAGGACTTTAAACAAACAGAGTTATGAGAACAAGCTCTACCAGTGATTATGTATTTCTAATTTTTTCTGTCACGTCATCAGGCATGGTCGCCTTTTTTCATGCTGTCACAATAGGAAATTCAGAGGAACGCAAGTAAATTCGACGTCATAATTGGATTTTAGCCAATGAAGAACTGAGATCAAACGAACCACACATTGATTAAATTTTTTTATACAATGGGTGCAGAAAGGGATAAATTGAAAAAGAATTAGAGAAATATAATTATTCAATTTTAATTTTTCATAGACCATTTATCAGTATCTGGATATTCATGGAAAAAATACAGAAGTGACATCTTACTTTATATTGTTATGCATTCCAATTCTAATGATACACAAGATAATACACTTATATCAGGCAAAACTAAGTACATACATGTTTTTACAAATACAATACTTACGGTAGAACTCTTTTATCCAGAATAACTCTGAAAGCTGTGTATATTCCTAATTTGACTTGAGCACTTAATGGGAGACTGAAATTGGTTAAAATCTGAAGAAGAAAAAAACAACAAATATTATTCATTGCTAGATATAAAAAAGTACAAAGTAGATGTGTTTTGACTGTTTGGTTTGTTGATTTGCTGTCTCATTGACCTTTATCCCACATCTTTTCATTCTTATTATCCAAAATGCTTTGCTGTCTATTCAGTATTGCTGTAAGGAAGTGATTTGACATTTCATCCTATTTAATTGTGTTAAAAAATTTCTTTGGCATCAAAATTGGAAGTGCTACATTAATTTAACACAAGAAACATATAGATTCTACAACTGCATCGAGTGTGATACGATATTTATCCACTCGAGACAGTTAAATTTTCAAATTTAAAACGCGAGGCTCGCAGAGCGTTTTAAATATTTAAAATTTTACTGTCGAGAGTGGATAAATATCGTAATACACGAGATTTGGTGTTAGAATCTGTTTCTCTAATGATTTTCAAACAATATGCAGGCAAACTTATTCCGTCTTTTCGAATGATCTGTAAAAAGGTGTGTTCTTTCTATGTGACGTCATCAGGCATGGTCGTCTTTTTTCATGCTGTCACAATAGGAAATTCAGAGGAACGCAAGTAAATTCGACGTCATAATCGGATTTTAGCCAATGAAGAACTGAGATCAAACAAACCACACGTTGATTAAATTTTTTTATACAATGGGTGCAGAAAGGGATAAATTGACAAAGAATTAGAGAAATATAATTATTCAATTTTAATTTTTCATAGACCATTTATCAGTATCTGGATATTCATTTGATTTTAATTGTACATTTGTCATCTTAAACTCAAGCATTAAGATAACCATCTGATTTTCTGAAGCTTGTCATTTATTTGTTGTACAATATAATGAAAGAAACTTTAGTGAGCTAGCTCACATACCCCACCCCATCTATAATTATTGCAAACCAAATGATATTTTTTCACAGATTCACTTGAAAGTTACCTGTCGATTTAAACTTTTGTAAGTTCTTTTGTCCCATCTAATAAATACAATAGCTATTATTCTCTGTGTAGTTTATTCAATGGGACCTTTAAATTTCTTCCAAAAGAAATTTATCACTCACTGATTAATTTACCTGAACAAAAAATTTAACTTTCAATGATGAAAATACATGTACCAATACCAAATAAGGACTCACAAAACTGCATGTGATGTTATATTTATTCAATAGCACAAATACATTTTCAATTTGTTCAATATAAACACTGATTCAAAAATTTCTGATCAAATTTTTAATATTTTACCTATTAAAATTTGCTTTTTTTGGTGTGTTTGACAAATAAAAAATAGAAAATGATGATGTTTAAATTAAGGCCTTCATGTATTCTATAACTGAACAACCACAAAAAACATGCAAATTCATTGGAACAATACTAAAATTTTGTCAGAAATAAACTTTTTATAATTGAATCAGTGTTTATATTGAACAGATTGAAAATATATTATTGATATTGAATAAATACAACATCACATGCAGTTTTCTGAGTTTTATACATGTATTTCAATCAACAAAGAAGATAATGTTTTGGTCAGGTTAATTAATCAATGAGTGATAGATTTCTCCTAGAAGAAATTTAAAGGTCCCAGTGAATAAACTACACAGAGAACAATAGCTATTGTATTTATTCAATGGGACAATAGAAGAGACAAAAGTTTAAAACGACAGGTAACTTTCAAGTGAATCTGTGGAAAAGTATCATTTGATTCGCAATAATAAGGGATATTGTTACAAGTCAAAGTCTTGAAAAAAGTGTACCTCATATCCAATTTTTGTGAGTATTAAACTCATACAAGGTTTCGATGAGCCAAAACAATCACACAAACTTGAAAATGAACTGAAAAGAAATGTAAGTGCTATTCCTGTGACAAGAATCAATATCATGAGCATGTTCCCCTCCAGAAAAAAACTAATTACCCAGTTAATATTTTTCTGATTTTCAAACTCATCAGAGGTTTTGATGAGTGGAAACTTCCAAACAAATTCGAAGCAGATCTGAATAAAAAATGAAGGCACCATCCTATGACAAGAATTAAAATGGAATATTTTTAAGCCCCAATCCCGAAAATAGGTTACCATTTCAGATTTTTTTATTATCAAACTCGTCTATGTTTAATGAGTTGAACATTCATTTAACAAAGCCAGAAATATATTCAGATCACTAAACAATGTATGGAAATCATCACAGTACAGTAACACAACGAAATTGTTGAGGGTATAATGTTTTCCTTTGTCCATCGGTCTGTCATCCTCTTCACATTTAAATGAATGTTCAACTCATTAAACATATAGATGAGTTTGATAATAAAAAAATCTGAAATGGTAACCTATTTTCGGGATTGGGGGTTCATGATGTCATTTCCTGCACTTCCATCGTTTCTTATTGTACTTCCCAGGTATGTAAATGTTTCTGTGATGGGAAGATCTTTTCCATCTACTAGGATAGGAGTTGGGTTAGTGATGTTAAGGGTCATGACTTCTGTTTTCGTTTGGCTGATTTTAAGTCCAACTTGACTGGCAAAATCACAGTACAGTAAGCGGACCAAACTAAAACTGTACCAGAGTTGTGTATTATCTACTCTGTTATACGGATCAGAATGCTGGAGGATGACAGAAATCGATCTAAACAAACTGTCAGTTTTTCATACCAAAAGCTTAAGAAGAATCCTGCACATTTTCTGGCCAAACAAAATATCCAATAAAGACCTTCTAAGACAGTGTAATCAAGATAGCATGGGTACAATATTAATGAGAAGGCGTTGGAAATGGATTGGGCATGTGATTAGAAGAGATAGAAATTCCATCACTAGAACAGCCTAACATTGGACTCCAGAAGGAAGGGGTAAGCGAGGATGACCAAAAAACACATGGAGATATACTGTAGAAGGAGAACTGAAGACCATGAATAACACATGGGGAACAGTAGAAAAGATGGCCAAAGACAGACAGAAATTGAGAACCTTTGTTGCTGCCCTACATGCCAATGGCATACCAGGCAGTAAGTAAGTAATTTCGTTGTGTGGGGTATAATAATATGTCGCTTACCCTACACAGAAAATCTAATAATGTTGCAGTAATGGCAGGATGGGGTCGGATGGAATGGTACATCACTAAAATGGCAGGTTCTATATAAGTAAAATAAAATCATTTATGTTACATTGAAGAAAACATATAACTGCTAAAAATAACAAACAATATCCACTCATATTTTTACTTTAACTGCTGCACAAAATTAATGCATCAATTTCTCCTGGTAACTCTTTTAGAATAAGGAATTTCAACCAAAAGCAATTTTTTCTTCCTAGTATTTATAACGTTTCTGTTCTATTGTTTGAACTATTAATCTCTGTTAAAGAATTGGAATTTATATTTGATCAAAATGAATAAAACATTTCAAGTGTGCTATTAAACATGTAACAGTTAATAACTACTGTTCAAAACTATAAAAAGTCACAAAATTATTGTGTTTCTGAAGAAATATCTTAAATTGATTTCTAATCAATAAATATTTTATAAGAGATGGTGCATTTAACAGAACCAAGAGAGGCACTGAGTATATTTTACTTACCAATATTCATAATACTGTCCCTTTCAGGATCAAAGAACAACCAGTCATAAAACAGAGCCAGTTTGGCATTAGTGGCGGCTACGTTAGACTGTCAAAATAAAAATATAAAGATCACTTAAAACATCATCTATTTTTCAGATCCTCAATTCAGCAACTAAGAAAGCTTGTTGAAATAAACAGATTAAACTGTAAATTAATCTGCTCATGTATAAATTAAAATATGAATGCAGTTCTTTGAGAAAACTTGATATCCTATCAAAGCATAAATCTACTATATACATACCGTGCAGGTTGTTAGTAACCAGCCAATCACAGCCCATCGTGGGATAATATCTGAACACAGTAATTCATTTGGTGGGTGAAATACAGCACAGATATAGCGTATCAAATCACAACGAAGTGACTGGCTCTCTGGTGTTGACAGGTACTGTTTAATTATAAAGAATTAATCAAATGTTATAGTTTTATTGTTAAGTCAGGAATTTCTCTCTAAAAATGTTTACTGTAATTACATGGAACATTAATGTATGTATACAATTTTGAATTTCGTAGTAAAATAGGTGACCACTAACAGCATTGGACAATGCTTAAAAGATTTAGAATAATAAGAGAAAATATTTTGACAGGTTTTACTGTAATTTTACTCGGTTTTATTAAGATTTGTTTCTATATCTAGTAAAATACATATAGTACAGCATATAAAGTTCAACCAAAACAATTAACTGAGCATCTATCATGAGGATAACACACAGCAAGAGCTTAAATCATTTGACTTTTTCAATTGAAGTTAACTAATGATAATAAAACTTTTGCAATCCCTAAGCTAATATCTGAAAACTAGAATATATATAACACATCATACAAATTTATCTTAAATATTTTTTTTAAATAGGAAAAAGTAAAATAACATAAATATAGAACTCCAAGGAAAATTATAAATGGAAAGTCCCTTATCAAATGACAAAATCAAAAGCTCAACACATCAAACGAATGGAAAACAACTGTCATAGTACTGACTTGGTACAGGCATTTCCCTATGTAGAAAATGGTGGATTAAACCTGGTTTTATAGCTAGCTAAACCTCTCACTTGTATGACAGTCACATAAAATTCCATTATATTAAATACATTTACCTGTCTCTGAAACCAGTCTTGATATCTTTTCTGCTGGCCAAATTTGACCTACAACAACAAATAAACAATTAAATATATTAATGAATAAATAAACAATACTATTCGAGTCCAAATTAAATTAAAATTGTCCACTAAATAAGACTATTACCTCCATATGCAATTTTAGAGAAAGCAAAATAACATTTGACATTAATCAGACATTTACAAAATTGTTTAGTTGTGACTTGGATCTTCCAATATGAATTCAGGTCATGAGCAATAATTGTGTTAACTTTTAACATGCAATCATCCAAAGAGTTAGAACAAAGACAATAACAAAACAGGATATCAACACATTAACATGATGTATCCTAGAATTTCTGGAAATGACCTAAGGTGAATGAAAAATTTTCCATGAATGTAATGGCTATGAACTTAAAACTGATGCTACAACCTTCAGTCAAATTAATGACATACCCTTTGCAACATGATATTTAACTTGGATCAAAGTATTGATTACAATGATATGGCTTGAATACTAATTGTTTACATGTTTACTGTGACCTTCTCTACAAGATATAAACGTTAGTCACATCTGTTGAATGTCCTGACATACCTGAATGTCAAGGGTATTAATTGAGGTACAATTTGTGTAAAATCTAGTACTGCAAAGTTATAGACTAATAAACTAACATGGCTGTACCAGGTTCTGAAGACATCTTGATATTACTTTTGTGGTTATTACATAATATTTATTATGGTAAAATGTAACATGTAAAGTATGTCAATAAAATTATGAACAAACCTTGGTTATGAGAAAGACTAATTTGTTTTCCATGTCAGGGGTCAGTCGGCTTATCAAATACTTCTTTGAAGTTCGCATCATCATCAACTGTGTTAATCCTGTAAGAAATTAATTACTTTTTTTTATATAAACTGCATTGTTTTTATAAAAAAAAAAGACTCTAACGTTGAGATGGTGTACATCAATGTCACATTTGTCTGCCATTACAACAATATGTTTTCATGGAAAAATATTAATGTGATAAGAGAAGATATTTGATGTTCTAGATTGAAAATTATTATCACAATTTTAGTAAATTTGCATGAAATACTTACTTGGAACTAACATCAATCAGTCTCACGACATCATTCAGTAATTAAGAAAAAATTCTATCAAATGGATAAAGTCAAGTAGTGTACAATAAGTGTATTAAGAAACCAACAATCAATGCAGAAAACAGAACACAAAGTGCATGAATCATCCTTTTTTATTCTGTAATGTATTTGTATTGTGGTGGATAGTTGTCTCTTGGCAATCATACCACATATCCTCATTTTTATATTTATAGATTTTGTAGGTAAATTTGCATATTTTCATGGCATTTTAAATGGCTTCCAAGTAAGAGTTAAATATTTGAAGGAAATTTTTATTATCAAAGTTAAACTAGTTGTTCCTAATTCTTAATTTAGCTGATTTTTCTCCTTCAGTAAACTGACCTGTAAAATGTGGACTTATTGATGTTGGATTACTTAACATATCTTTCCACAGGCTCTCAACTTCTGGTATCCTAGCAACATACTGTAGTAATCTAACTAAATCTCGACCAATCACAGCACAGTCTGTCCACTATAAAACAGAAATGTTCATTTAATATTTATAAAGAGTATTGAACTATCTGTGAGAGAAGACATTTCTAACTTGTTAAATTGTTTCAGATCCATTTGTGTCAATTCATAAAATATGTTGACAATAACAATGAAACCTTAACAACCATAAAATCCTCAAATGTTGTATCTCATTCTCTTTGAAAATGTTTAAATGTAAGCTGTATATTTTTCTTAATGATTGTAATCACTAAGGTCACCTGAATTAAGGTAAAGAAAAACTTCACATAGAAAAGTTATTTCCCCTTGAAAATCTCTGTGCTGTGATGAAATTATGAACCCTTTATGTTGTGACAATTTAATCATTTTTAACAAATAACTATCATTTACATATTTTGTATTACCTTTTCCCTGAGTAATGATACACACAGATCTACTTCTCTCTTCCTCAGATTGACCAACATGTGTGCTGTATGATCCATAGTCAGTCTCAGATACGTATAGACCACCATGGAACACAACTGTGGAAATTTATCTAACCATGTTCTATAAATAGATGAACATGCTTAATGTAAATATCAAACCATGTTCTATAAATAGATGTACATGCTAAATGTAAATATCAGTCTTATATACACTTTATTGATTCCTTTATCATAAGTTACTTTAAATGTGTTAAGGTTAAAGACAAAGTCTTGCTAAGGGATGTATTGATCTTACTGTAAGGTGTGATCAATTGCTTGTTGCATGCTTAATATCCAGAGGCAATTATGTGACGGCTGCATATTCAGGACGAGAAAGAAACTATTGACAACTAGACATCATTGAGATGGGAGCCATCTCTGTGGGCCCCGCTGTGAATAACGTGTGGTAAAAAATTTGTATCTTTACCATACGACATGGGGTTGTCATCTGAAACCAAAGTTTTTGACACACCCTCTGGTGTTGGTTAATATACATGTCAAATATAAACTTTGAAATCATAAAGGTTCTCAAGATATAGAGCGGACACGATCTTTACCAAAGGACACGGGGTTGTCAACTGAAACCAAAGTTTTTGACCTTGACCTTTGACCTAGGTAGTTGTACAAACATTATTACAGGGTGTGTTGGTTAATATACATGTCAAGTATGAAGTATGAAATCATAACGGTTCTCTAGATATACAGCGGACACAATTTGTTACGGACGGACGGACAGACAGATGGACAGACAGATGGACAGACTGATCACTATAGAGCGAACTGCCATTCGGCGGGGCCCTAATTAATACTATAGGTAGATTCTGCAAGGTGGGACAATAGGGATGAAGGTTGGGAAATTTGGACAGCACCTGGAAAATAATGATATGTTGAATAGGGGCAAATAGTTTGCCTTGCAAAAGGCCACCTTCAGATCCATCACAGAGTTGTTGCAGGATTTTTCAACATGCAAAGAGTGTGGCACTTTCTTGACACAAGGCAAGGGATTCAGTGATCCAATTCTAACTGGAAAGTCTGTGAACTTATACATCCTTCACAGCTAAGCAGCGCCCTACTTTGGCAAGGATTTTAATGCTGGTCAGAAAAAGACCCAGTTGACCATATTTTTATACTCCAGCTATAAGGTATGAGCTTTTCTTATCATCGCTGAAGACCATCCAACAACCTTCACAATGAGGAAAGCAATCAAAGAGTTGTTTCTTAAAATATTGGTTATTTCCATGTATTTCTCTTTAAATTTAATCGTAAGGCATCTATTTCATTTTCTATCTTTACAAATTAGTTGATGTCAAATCAACAGTTGTGGACAAATATATCTCAGATGTATTTAAAATTAACATAAAAGGTCTACAGATCTTACTTATCACAATCTTTTTGTAAGTGAGTATAAGACCAATGGTCAACAGTAGATATGTTAGATTATAAGTGTTCATAAAAAAAACTTTGAATTTGCATCTAGCATTTGTTTTTTTTTCTTCATCTTTTTCATCATGCTCAACTTTCCAAAAATAGTGTGTTGCCTTGCTGCTTCGAACTTATATGAGCAGAAATGGAAAAGTCCACGTTTTCGCACCATTTTATGTCCTGAAGAAGAATCTGCGCAAGATTTGTTTAATATTGGCACACCATTTTTACAGAGTTGTGGAGTAACAAAATGTGATGTGGACAGCAAAGACACCAGACAACAGAAGTCATTCCTATGTGTTAATACATGTTTCCTGTCAGACATTACAGTAATTCAATAATGGTATATTTCATTCATATATATATCAATATGTTGTGGCATGTTGAATGCTTGATCTACCCAAGAGAAAATATGTGGTTTAATCAGAGAATAACATGACTCCTAAAGTTTCAGACTTGAATTTTCAGTTCATTTTAAGAGTCATGACAATGATAAGAAAAATTCTTGAATCCATGAAACTAAATGAAACTTAACATTTCTGTCCATATTCAGTCTATAAAATAATATATCAGTAATTTAAGAAGCCCTTTTTCTTGAAATTTACAATGTACATTATAGACTTTACTATTAACGGTAATTCTGACAAGATACTAAAGCAGTGTTCAGTCAATATTGTAATACAATATAATACAACTAACCTGTATTCTGCGAAGATATCCAAGACTGCTTCTATCAACCAGATATTCTTTGGTGACACATCACCTCCTGGAATGTATCAACATGTATTAAATGATTTATTTTCAAATGATAGATTTTTTAAGAAACTTTTCTTTAAAAAAAAATACTGATAAAGATATGGCTTAAGGATGTTCGCTCCTCTTGTCTTTGAATTTTTGTCAGATATTCGTAATCCTCTGGTTTTATCCATGAGATGCCATTAAAACAATTTGACCACTAACCTCTACTTTTCTTTTCATAATGTTATTACACATAGTTTAAAAAGCCATAGTTGAAAATCTTATAAAATCCTTTTCAAAAAAGTTTTTGAAAGGAAAAAGGTGTCTGTGCTAAATGTATGATAATTCTAGAGAGAAGCATTTCCTGTTAAATTTTCAATGGCTTATATCTCATAAACAAGGACACTTAATTTTTTTCTGCTACTTTAGTTCCACTATTGAAATACTATCAATTCATAACAATCTTCTAATAAAATGCTCCGCAGGGCGAAGCTTGATACGACCGCAGAGGTCGAACCCTGAACAGTTGGGGCAAGTATGGACACAACATTCAAGCTTGATACAGCTCTGAATTTGGATTGTGATTAAATATTTGACACAGCATAGGTTTCTGACACAGAATGAATGTGGTCTAAGAACTTAAAAATTTTAAATTGGACATTCACCTATTATGGTCCAATATCCAAAATCTAAATACATGGTTAGATTCAGCATATCAAAGAACCCCAAGAATTCAATTTTTGATGAAATCAAACAAAGTTTAATTTTGGACCCTTTTGACCTCAATGTGGACAAAGTTGATAACGGGGCCCAAAAATCAAAAATCTAAATACATGGTTAGATTCAGCATATCAAAGAACCCCATATATTCAATTTTTGTTGAAATCAAACAAAGTTAAATTTTGGACCCCGATTTGGACCAACTTGAAAACTGGGCCCATAATGGAAAAATCTAAATACATGTTTAGATTCAGCATATCAAAGAACCCTAAAAATTCAATTTTTGTTAAAATCAAACTAAGTTTAATTTTGGACCCTTTGGACCTTAATGTAGACCAATTTGAAAACGGAACCAAAAATTGAGAATCTAAATACACGGTTAGATTCGGCATATCAAAGAACCCCAATAATTCAATTTTTGATGAAATCAAACAAAGTTAAATTTTGGACCCTTTGGACCTCAATGTGGACCAATTTAAAAATGGGGCCCAAAATCCAAAAAACTTAATTCACGGTTAGATTCAGCATATTAAAGAACCCCAAGAATTCAAGAATAAAACCCCATTGAAATTGATCAAGAAATAAGCAATTTATACGAAGTATCTTCTTTTGCACAATACTGTGCAATTGAATATTTCTTGCTATTGCGCAATACTGTACAATTGACAATTTCTTGCTATTGCGCAATATTGTGCTATTGGATATTTCTTGCTATTGCGCAATACTGTGCAATTGAAGATTTCTTGCTATTGCGCAATACTGTGCAATTGAAGATTTCTTGCTATTGTGCAATACTGTGCAATTGAAAATTTCTTGCTATTGCACAATACTTATTATATAATAATTTACACATCCTGTTTGGTGTGTATCTCCTACCATATCATTATTATTTGCTTTTAAATATTAATCAGAAATAACCAACTTAAAATGGAAAATTTTAAAAGAAAAAAAAAAGGAAAAAAAAAAAAAAAAAAGAAAAACAAAAAATCCCCCCTCCCAAATTTTTTGAACCCCCTTATGATTCATCACCCCCAAACTCAATACCAGCCTTCCCTTTGTGGTATGGTACCTTGCAGTACAATTTCAGAGAGATCCATACACTTGAACACAAGTTATTGTCTGGAAACTAGAAAAATGCTTATTTTTGGCCCCTTTTTGGCCCCCAATTCCTAAACGTTTCGGGCAATTACCCCCAAACTCAATTCCAACTTTCCCTTTGTGATATGGAACCTTGTAGTACAATTTCAGAAATATCCAAACACTTACACACAAGTTATTGTCATGAAACTAGAAAAATGCTTGTTTTTTGCCCCTTTTTTGGCCCCTAATTCCTAAAATTCTGAGGCAATTACCCCCAAAATCAATTACAGCCTTCCCTTTGTGATATGGAACCTTGTGGTACAATGTCAAAGAGATCCATACACTTACACACAAGTTATTGTCTGGAAGTTACAAAAATGCTTATTTTTGGCCCCTTTTTGGCCCCTAATTCCTTAACTGTTGGTACCATAACCCCCAAAATCAATCCCAACCTTCCTTTCGTGGTATTGAACCTTATGGTAAAATTTCATGGAGATCCATTCACTTAAACTAAAGTTAGAGTGCGAAAACCAATGTGTCTTCGGACGACGCCAGACGACGACGACGCCAACGTCATACCAATATACAACCAATAAAATTTTTTTTAATTTTTACGGTCGTATAAAAAGCTTGTTATTTTGAAATAGAGTAGCAAACTTCCTTAAGCCAGTACTAGTCTATTTAAATTCTTGTTTAATTACCGATACTCATAAAAGCTTCACATATTGCTTGAATACTGTATTGTATTTCAAACAAGCAGTCAGTACACAATAGCATATCACATTGTATGGTTATGTTTTGGAAAATAAAATGGCTATCTTCTGTTCTTGGTTTGCTGTCTCATTGACATGTAGCTCATATCTCTTATTATTCATATAAATGTAGTGCTAATTGATGCTAACTGTGGAATACTTTCCTTTTTCTTTGATTGTTCATAACCAATTTTTATAAGTTTGAAACGGGATGTGTATGTTTTGAATACATGTTAATGAATCATTCAGTACATCTTTCTATAAATGTGATTTGAGAACATAATGACAAGATTTAACCCAATCTGTCTGGTAAGACGAAAACATAATGAAATGATTTAACTTAGCCTGTCTGATATGATTTCATGAACCATTTGTTAGATAAGATAAAACATTCATTTCAACTTCTTCTGCTTGTTTTACAAGACATAATTACATCTCCATCTGCTTGATATAACTTGAACACACTGACATGGTTTATTAGCCATCAGTATGATACGACATGAACAGCCAATGACATGTTCCATCTATCTTTCTGATAGATTTGGACACACAATAGTAATTTTCAACTGTCATCTGCCTGGTAAAACTTGTATAAATGAGATTTTCTACCGGCAATAGAGTTGAACATAAGTGATATACATTACCTGCCATCTGTCTGATTAGACTTGTACACACACTTTCTGCTCCAGTAACTGTATTCTTCACCAATTCTTTGCAAAACCATACAATCTGTTCAATCAAAAACTATGTCAATTGTTTGTGATATTTATATACTACTGGTATTTTACAAGGCTTTTTATCTTTCATCACTGATTAATACTTCTCCTGTTAATCATTTTAACAATCAAGTTGTTTATTTTTCTCAGTTCCTTATTTGTTGAAATTTTATTATGATGTCAAATACCTATGCCATTTCTACAGTTCAGTATTGATATCATGGTGGCAGGAAAAAAGGAACTAATGCAACACAACATTTATCCCCCTACACTGTCCTAAGAAGTTAAACTTTCAAACAATCATAATCAAAATGCCTCATCTATTAAAACTTGAAAAAAACCAGGTTTTTCAAGTGTATAAAATTTTGATGAATTGATAAAATCTATATCAAAATCAGTGCTTCATAATAAACATCAAGCAGTTAAAACCTATATGTTCAACTGTATAATGTAATGATTCTTGCCATTTAATACCAAAATACAAAATGGTGGCTTGACAGAAAACATGTGATCAAAAAGTTAGTAACAATAGGCTGTTTGATACATATTTTGAAGAAGACCAGCCATGAAATAACGGAATGGCTCATCATATTTCAATATCCTTAACATTAGAAAGTGCAGTCTGAAGCGGATTTAAGGGGCCCCTTATGGAGCTTCAGATATGATAAATGCATCAAATTTTTACAAGTATCACTCCTAACATTGGCAGTGGTTCTTGCAAATCTTTTGTAATGGGGGCTAATGACCCATAAAAATTTGCCCTTTCCTGATCACTGACAGAAAATAAATAAAAAAAAACATGTTTTTACTTTTTATCCAAATATTAACCTTTGAATGGTGTTATAATTTTTTGGGGTTTGATATATACTGACAGATTAAAAGTATACCTGTTGTCTTGTTGAGTCTAGTAACTTTAACCATCTTTCAAAGATGAGCTGATTTGTTTTTGTTAAAGCTATGGTCATACCATCTCTGCTAAGCAGGGTTAAATCTCTGTAGCTCTACAAAAATGAATTGTACCAATGTCAAAGCATGATATATTTGTGTGAAGATGATAAAATAAAGTTTGTTAAGACTTTGTATCAGTAGATTATAATGAAAATTTGTATAAGCAATGATGATGTGCAGTGTATTAAATTGATAAGCTTAAACTAAATAGCCAAACTTTATAAGGTCAGTTTTGCCAAACAGTTACCAAGGAAATACTAATAATTAAATGTTTCAGAAAATTCTCTACATATAATCCAGGAGATATAACATATCTATACTAGGACCATGTGAATTAATAAAATATCCTCAAGTTTAAAGCAGGGTTTTCAACAACAACAAAAATAGGCTGACATTTTTTCCCAATGCCTTAAGCTTTTATAGCTTTTTTTTTACATTTTTTAATATTTATATGAATTTCAGCCAATCAATAATACTATATCTGTCCATTAACAGAGAGAATTTTGCCACAAGACTTAAAATGATTGTGTTGAACTTTAAAACATGTGAACTGGAAGTAACCATTGGTATTTCCATCATTATTGCATAATACACTTAGCAGAAAACTCTTTTTAAAAATACATTTTTATCTAATACTACTGATAATGTAGATGCTGACTTTTCAGTGATATATAACTCTGAACAAAGACAGAATATGTAAAAATTCTATACATTTTTATCCAATATACAAAATATTTATTCAACGTTTAGTAGTAACTTAATATCCCCAATCCTTACAAAAAACTCCAGGAAAAACATTGACTCTATTTCCAATTCATTTTCATATATGCCATTTCTAGGGCATGGAAATACAGTTCTATGATAGATATTTACAAAGAGACAGTTCAAATTTTATCTCATTGGTCATTTGGTCATACTCAAAAAGGGGGGAGCTCTTTAAATATCTTGTCTTGATAATTAAACGCAGTGTAGTAGTAATGTCTCTTATAGTTTTCTCTTTATAGATATAAGAAGATGTGGTATGAGTGCCAATGAGGCAACTATCCATCCAAGTCAAAATTTAAAAAAGTAAACCATTATAGGTCAGAGTACGGTCTTCAACACGGAGCCTTGCCTCACACCGAACAGTAAGCTATAAAGGGCCCCAAAAATTACTAGTGTAAAACCATTCAAACGGGAAAACCAACGGTCTAATCTATATAAAAAACGAAAAACGAGAAACAGTTATGAACCACATCAACAAACGACAACTACTGAACATCTGATTCCTGACTTAAGACAGGTGCAAACAAATGCAGCGGGTTTAAACGTTTTAATGGTACCAAACCTTCACCCTTTTTCTGAAACAATAGTGTAACATCACAACATAGAAAGACACACTATAAAATATCAACTGAAATAGCTTAACTCACTATCACTTTATTAAAGCATAACTTGAAAATAATCTTAGTTGAAATAAAAATAACAGAGATTTCAATTTTGAAAACCACATATGTATCTGCTCTCTACAATTATGACAATGTTAGGCCTACATGTTCAAGTATTCCAAACATTTGAAAAATGGAAATATTGATTATAAGTTACATTGTCATATTGTATGTTTTTGTACAAATAGAACAAAGTGCAGTTATTTAGGGGGCATTAAGTAATTTCAAACATGATTTAAAAGAGATGAATTAACCTACCCTTGCTGCAGATTTAGGGTCTACTAATATGGAACACCATAATCCAACTTGGACTTCTTCATACTGGAATGATCCTTTGCTGACCTAATTAAATATCATTTAGCATTTTAATTCCCATGAAAAAAAAAATTAAGTATCTCATTAATAACACTTGAAATATCTTCTGAAATAAAACAATGTCATATTTTTCATTTTCATCTATCCTAGAAAATAAATGAATAAAAAAAAAAATACTGTCAGCATAGCAGATTGCTGGTTTTTGGTGTGTTGTACAGTCCAATATTTCAGGTATTGCTTGTTATTAATTATTTTTATACATAATTGTGTATAATAAAACAGACATGTCAGCAAGAGCCCATCTTGCACATTTTTTTTGTGAGGCAACAGAAAACAAATAAATAATACTGATGCAAACATTTTTAGCATTTTTAGCATTAAGTTTTTATCAGTATCAATTTTCATTATTTTCGACACCAGGAATCAATTCAGGATGTGCTCTCTTTGAGTTTTAAGTTTTGTTAAAATCAAGAGACTTAGTATTTTGGCAGCCATTTTTTTAATGGTGGGCGACCTCTAATTTTTGTTCCCCCATATTTGACACCATTATATTAATTTGAATCAGGATTTTATACTAATGTAACACTTTATAGTTGAAATCCTAGATGTTTCTCAAAATTTGTGATTTTTTAACAAAATGTAAGTGAAGTTAATATAATTTTTTTCTCTCAACTTTTGGCATCCTCGATCAATTTTAAAAGAATAACTTATTACCATCGTACCAAATAGAAGTGCTGACAGACATAAAAAGATGTTTCTAAAATTAAGTAATTTTAAACAAAAACTTAGTTTTAATGGCCAAATTCCCTTCACAATATCATTAAAATTAGGTTCTGACATTAGGAACAATTTTGAATAGCATATCATAACCTACATATCCATTTTTGTTTAAATTTAGCCCAAAAGAAATGATCAAAATTTTTGCTTTTTTTTTTTTGAACCAAAGTTTTTTACCACAATTTTGGTCCAAATTATTAAAAAAAAGTAATCAAATGGGCCCTAATAACAATCTCACCATGTAACTCCAATAAAATACTTTTCTAAATTATGAATTAAGTTTCACACTTATAGTACATACAAGGTGGGTATCATAAGGGTCTAAGAGTGATGCGGGATTGGACGATTTTTTTTGTAAGCGTGACACGTGAAAGCCAAATTATTTTGCATGAAAACGGGAAACAAAGTGGGGCGGGACACATGAAATTACAAGCGCCATTATTACAATGATAAGAGGGATACAAGGTGATTCAGCTCACAATAACTCTTGTCAATGTAAAATCACTATGGCACAGACTAGGGAGATTGATGGTATTTTAAAGTGACAACACTAATTACAACTAGTCATATTATACATGTATGAATTTCAACAAGAGAGATCGATGTTTCTGTATTATGACCAACCCTCCACCCCACCCCCACCCCCCTTTTTGCCTCCGTTCACAAAAAAATCAACACTTAAAAAAGAAGAATTGTTTTTTCACTATAAGCACCTAGTGTGTACTGTACATACTTACATGAGTATTCAGTGCATCATTTGCTTCTCTTTCAGATAATCCATTAGTTAGATTAAATATTGTGTTGTAATTTCTTTCAATTTTCTACAAATAAACAGTATAATCAGTAGCATTGTATATGCATGTACAAAGTATATAAAGACTTTACTGCTGTTTCTCGGATATCAGTTAATAATTTAGCATTTAGCTATATGAGTAAGAGCAAATGCTGGTCAACTTTGAGTTACAATAATGTGTCTGGGTTCGGTGATACATGTATGTCTTTTTGCAAACTATTACTTTGCATGTAAAAAATCTGCTTCAGTGTGTAAGTCTAAAACTAAGAAGTGTACATATTCATATCACAATATCATGTTCTGGTTCTGAAATGTGTGTAATATTTGCAACTTGCCATTGGACAATAATTGCCATCCATCAATGAATCAACACCAACAACTTTCCTTTCTGATCTAGGGTTGAGAATTTTTCTGCTATTTCAGTCATTTTCAAAGTTTGCCATTAAGTTTTTTCTGTTCATGCTGTTCAGGTTCATTCCACAGGTTTATCTTGTCAAACATTATATGTGTTGTAAGAAAAAAATCACTTTGCTTAATTTTAATAAACTGTTGACACAAATATGTCTAGCCTTTATGCTATTTTGATAGTGTAATTCAAATGGCTATACTTTAACTTGTAAGCTACATGTATGCAGAACCATGACTGAAGGGGCAGGGCCAAATATCCTTAATCGAAACAGTTAATGCAAATACAACTGCATATTAAATAACATTGACTTAATTATCATAAGCATGTTTGATAAGTGGTTCTTTTTAAACTGACATTAAAGTAAACTTAGCTAAAGTTTCATATTAACTAGACCATGATTGAGGACTTAGGGGTATTTGTATCATACCATCATAAAATATACGAGAAGAACATAACCCGCATCATGCCAACAACTGGTTTTAGAATAAATATGTTTATTTTCGATGCAAAGACCCTATGAGTGAATCAATATAAATTCCAAAAAATGCCATCTTTAATGACCTGACAACTAAGTCGGTTTAAAGGTTTGGTCAGCTTTTGAGTTGATTGATGACATTTTTTGTGCTTTGTATAGAATATTACCATAAAAGATGGGATGTGAAATACCTGAACCTATAAGATGTCTGCACTTTGATTTATATTGACGAATGATGTCATTGTACCGATGATAAAATTTAGTAATAGTTTTGACAAGTTTATGATATCGAAAACCCAGGTGTAATAATTTTAAAGGTAGTACTACAGATTGTTGTGCTACTTGAAAAGTAATCAGAAACAATGAGTGATTGTTAAATATTAAATATTTCATTGTCAAACTGCTAGAAACAAACAAAAAATGCTACCACATACAAGATTCACTGAACTTTTTTTTTTAATTTCACTCGCCGCCCCTCTATTTTTATCCATAAGTCATCATGGTCATCTGGAAAATCTAAAGAACATGTTCTTTGTTTGGCTTTATCAGGTTGTGATGGTAGGATGCCATATATATCAGAGATATTGTATGGAAATTTTTAATACATTTGAGAAACTTAATGTGTATATTTCTATTTCACACTATAGACACTTAGTCAGCCGTAACCGGTTGAGCTAAGGAAGTACTTCTTTAGCTCAGTCGGTTAAAGCACTGCCTTGTAACACAGAGGTCGGGGTTCGAGTCCCGGTGGAGACAATGTGATTTCTCATTAGAATCATGGTCTCCGGTTACAAAAGCTTTGCATCCTTCTGTTGGCAATAGACCTTATCACTATTTGGGAATCTGTGACACTTGAACTATTGACGTCATACAACAATCACATTTCCTTTGTGGCATCAGACATTTTCTATTGTGATGTCAAAATTTTACGGGAACCTTTTTCGTGTCCAGTAATGGTGGACAAATAGCGATAAGGTGTATGCCTAATTTGGTTAAATCCATATTAGATCAATTTAGAGTTCTTTTATATGAATGAGTTACACCCGTCGACCTGAACAATCCACTCTTACTTTGATGTAATAACATTAGCATCCTGACATTTGATTGTTCAGGAAAGTACATAAGTGCGAACGTGGTCTATTCTATATTGGGTGAAATTCTCCCAAACATACCTCACACAATTCATCTTTTGGTTCTATCACTGAAGACTGAACAATTCTCGGTGGTTGTTGTTTATTTAGTGATTCCATTTGCTATAATGTCTCTTATATGACAAAAAGAAAATAACATCTTATTCACAAGTTCATGTGTAAAGGCTCCTATGAAAATGCATTGTCAGGGGAGATAACTCAAATAGTTTTCTTTCAATCACACCGCCATTTTTCGTGCTTCAATTTTTAAATGGTAAATTTACGGCTGTGCAGCAAGAGAGGCAGTATTTGTTTGAATTGTAATTTAAAAAGCAATAAACCAATTTACAATGCTTAAAATGACACAATATTATGCTCTTGAACACCGAAAACAAAGCAAAATTGTTCTGCAAGTTTTTCCTGTGTGATAACCGGAAGTAATCAAGCACTTCATTTCTTACAAGAAAAATAGGTACGTCAATCCCGAAAATAATTGGTTATTTATCATTGTGGTTTTCATTATCTAGCTGTATATCCTTGTAGTGCTTTGGACCGTTGTTGTGTCTTTAGGTTCTCTGGATAAAAATTAAAGCACCCATCATTCATAATTTGTGGGAAATGGATTTTTTTTAACAAACATTTTTTTTTCAACTTAATTTACCATTTTCAATAGAAATAAATCACAAGCACTTGTTTCTATCCATGGGAAGAACCACTATCAACTTATACGTTGATAGTGGATAGAAACAAGTGCCTGTGAAACAAATTACTTTGAGTCCTTACTGAAATAAAAAAAAATCAAGAAATTTAGACTTAAAACATCACTTTTTCTTCAAATACCCCCCCCCCCCCCTTTTTTCCATAAACTGGAATCCGCTTGTATTACGCTACACTCAAACAATGAACTATGAACAAAGTGTAGTAGTCAGCCGAGAACCAGCTTACCCTTCCTAAACACCCAACACAATAGGTGACCCGGCTGAGACTACTATCATACACTGACACAGTTCATAGTAGTACCAGCCGCGGGAATAGTCGGTGCGCGCGCCTTACAAAGATTATTTCATTTTAATCTCTTTTGTCTTTCTTATATTTTGTATTCTGCTTCAATACCATTAAATTTTCAGGATGGTTAGTATGATCTCAGTAAACTAGGCATGTAGGGTAAACAAGGTCTTTATGTGAATAGGTAATAGTCCTACCGTGATGTATGTGTATTTTGCTTTGCGATACATTTGGCTATTAATGGTATCTATTTGTCATATAACATAATTGCCTGACTCAATGAACAGTTTGTTAGTTTTTTACATTCCTAATGCTTAGAGAATCTTTCCATTATATTGTTGATGATCAAGCTTAGCTTAGCTTATATATCGTGACCCGGCTCTTAATCCTTTAAGTTGTTGCTTATTACAAATCCAACTAACGTGGTATATGAATCTGGTTATTTTAATTTAGCCTTAGCAGGTACGCTAAGAACCAAAAGTTCAGACAGGATATTATGTATAACTAAATATTAATATACGTAACTAAGAAGGACCTGAATGAGTTATACATGTTATAAGAACCTTCAATTTTACCGAAATTAATAAATAACCCAGTTTCTATCAAAATTACGACATATTAATTAAAAAAGATGTGGAATTTACTGTTATGAGACAAAACAACAACGACCAAAAAATCTAAGACTTCTACAATTAGTTTGTCAACTTAAAGTTATCAGAATTATTTACTACATAAATTACGCTGCAGTCGTTATAGTCACTGCTATTTGGATGTTACCCACGTTATTGAATAGTCAACCAGCTCACTGCTGAGTGGGCAGTTTCAACACACACTATGAAAGTTGCGATTAAATCAAATGTTCTTCGTTCACGCATCTCTGGAATAACTTTCACTAATTAGTTATCGCCTCGGGTACATGTGATACCGATCGGATGCCTATTTGTTCTTTCTTGCAAAATTCATCTATATAAAATGAATATGTCGTAAAGAAAAGAATATAACCTTGGTTTGCCAATATTAAAATCAAGAAGTACTAAACGAGCCTAAAGCGATGAAATAAAGACTTACATAAGCAGTACATGTCGCACATGATTGTAAAACTTGTTCCGTCAGACAGTAAGATCAATGCTTTACGGCGTCTGTTTCGCCGTTGTGCGGGATGTTTATATGCACACCAACGTTCGGTCGAAATGGGTGCATACATTCCGATACCTCGTGTTTGGAGATTTCCACCAGAGCCCATATGAATGTACAGATATCATACATATACTTTTTACAAGTCATACTCCTAATGTTGTCTTGCCGGTGCCCCTCCCTCCCCTCCCCTTTTCAAAACCCTGATTCCGCATCTGGTCAGGTTCTTTGCACGTAAAGGAACCATATCTACTATAGTCCAAGAAAATTACGGCTTGAGAATCGCAAGGTTCAAATGATTGAAAAATTGTTGTTTTGAAAACACCCAGTGGCAAATATTTCATGCATACTTAATATGAGGACTTATCTAACAAATAGAAAGGTTCTTTTGGGTTGCCAGCGTAAAAGGGTGACACCTATCAGGAAGAGTTATATTTGGTGTTGGCAAAATTGTTCCTTGCAATACGTCACATAATTGCCCTTCAAAAATTTATAGCAGCAAACATTCATTTAACTGCAAAGAGAATGACACTCTCTCGTCACGAGGCATCATATATGAATTATATTCAGTATAGTATAGAGTCGTACTTACATGTATATAGACTCGTACGTGGGTTGAAACAAAATAATGTGTACACGAATGGTCCAAAAAGTTTAATGACTTAAGAATCATACTTTTGACATTATGATTTTCATGTCATTAAACATTTGCAATATTTACTTTATGATTCTCATATCATTAACTTTTGGACTACTCACATTATGATTCTCGTGTTTTTGACTTTTGGACTAAAAGTATTCACATTACGATTCTCATGTCATTAAACTTTTGGACTATTCAATAGTCCAAAAGTTTAATGACATTTTCACTTTAAGATTCTCATGTCATTAACTTTTGGACTATTCACATTATGATTCTCGTGTTTTTGACCTTTAGACTATTTGCATTTACATTATGATTCTGTTGTCATATTCACATTATGACTTGCATTTCATTATCTTTTGGACTATTAACATTATAATTTTCATGTCTTAACTTTTTGGACTATTCACATAATGATTCTCATGTTATTAACTTTTGGACTATTCACATATTGATTCTCATGTCGTTCACTTTTGGACTATTCACATTATGATTCTCATGTCATTAACTTTTGCACTATTCACATAATGATTCTCAAGTCGTTAACTTTTAGCTTATTCACATTATGATTCTCATGTCATTAACTTTTGCACTATTCACATAATGATTCTCAAGTCGTTAACTTTTAGACTATTCACATTATGATTCTCATGTCATTAACTTTTGGACTATTCACATTATGATTATCATGTCATTAAACTTAAAGACTATTCATGTACCGAAAAAGCAGAATAAGTATTAAAGGTACTTCCAATGCTGTAGAAGATGAGACTCATTCTTTTTAGCTCACCTGATCTGAAGGGACAAGTGAGCTTTGCTCATCACTTGGCGTCCGTCGTCCGTCGTCCGTCGTCCGTCGTTAACTCAGAGAACCACTGAATGGAATGAAACCAAACTTTGCATGAATATTCCTTATGAGGTGTTGACGAAGTGTTGTTACTTTGTAGCTGATCCATCACCCAAATGGCCGCCAGCGGGGGACTTCGTTTAACATAGGACCCTATGGACAATACATACAAATGTCTTCTTTTAGAGAACCACTGAATGGAATGAAATCAAACATGGAATGAATGTTCCTTATATGAGGTGCTGACCAAGTGTTGTTACTTTGTAGCTGATCCATCATCCAAGATGGCCGCCAGCGGGGGAGGCTTCGTTTAACATAGGACCCTATGGACAATACATACAAATGTTTTCTTTAAGAGAACCACTAAATGGAATGAAATAAAAAATGGCATGAATGTTCCTTTTGAGGTGCAGATGAAGACCTAAATACATGTATCTTTATATATGGAGATATACTGTAAACTACAAAAATATCAAGAAAAGAAGATCTACACATAAGTCAACATGAGCATAATTGTCAATTGACATCTTGTTGGAGTTATTGTCCTTATACAGTCATTTTCTACAATTTCAATGAATTTATTGGTAATTTCTGTAAACTTTACAAAAATCTTCTGCTTTTGATTAAATTACGGGGCCTCAATCATTATTAGGGTATCTGTTATGATTTTAATTTATTTTTACATGATTTCCAAAACCAAAATAGAATCAGATGAGCGACACAGGCTCTTGAGAGCCTCTAGTTTTTATTGCAACACATTTAAGGATGATAGAAATGATATGTTGTCTAGAATTACAAAATTTAATATTTAGTTTAAGAACTTAGACATTCAAAACAAAGTCACTTGGCTGTTTAGTATAGAAAACGTTGATTTACTTAAAATCGGAATGATGTATTTTTTTTTACAGATAAACATCTCCCTTAAGATTATCAAAGAAAATTCATACAGCAAATCATCATACTTTTGATATAAAATTGAGAATGGAAATGGGGAATGTGTCAAAGAGACAACAACTCGACCAAAGAGCCGAAGGCTACCAATGGGTCTTCAACACAGCGAGAAAATCCCGCGGAGGCGGGCTTCAGTTGGTCCCTAAATAAAAATGTGTACTAGTTCAGGGAAAATGGACGTCACACTAAACTCCAAAACATATAAATGAACTAAAATTAAAAAAAAACAAGACTAACAAAGGCCAGAGGCTCCTGACTTGGGACAGACGCAAAAATGCGGCGGGGTTAAACATGTTTTGTGAGATCTCAACCCTCCCCCTATACCTCTAGCCAATGTAGAATAAACAAACACACAGCAATACGCACAGTAACACTAAGTTTAAAAGAAGTCCGAGTTTACATCTCTTGCATTACTTATGAAGTAACCTAGTTGAGAAATAAAATGTCTTTGCCTAATCACTCATTGGAATAAGTTTATTGGATATTTTTCAAGATGACATGTGTATCTCTGCGAATGAGATGAAATATATTTGTGCTATGAGCGATTAATTAATTAAAAAATTGTAAGTAAAGTTATTGAAAGTCAACAACAATGATATGAATAAAGATGTCAACATACTAGCCACAATAATAAACTGTGGTGTATCACACCGTAGCAATGGTGATTCGGACGATCCTCCTGTTTTTACTTTGGAATAAAAATTACTATTAAAGACTTCTCAAGTCGAGATTCAAATGAAGTTTGAATATTAAAGTCAGATCGACCTGGCCCCTTCAGAGATATCCTGGCTTCGGACCTGTCTATACAATGTCAAGCTGTACATCCTCCTGTGTCTGAAACAAAGTTGTTAAAAATTGAAAA